AGCTATCTCCCACTATCCTTAGTAACGTGAAGCAAGCACTATTGCCTACAGTTACGCCTCACAAAAAGGCTCTGTCGGAACGTCTGGTCCAGGCTGCTGTTCACCATATCGCGCTCTCAGCCATTCCCTAGCAGATGACCAATACTCGTCTTCGACATCGCATTCGAGATCGCTCCATTCCGGACGTAGGAAGCTAAGGCTCTGATGCCTCCGGCTATCGCACTCGGTACCGCTTTCTTCCGGATTTAGGGAGCTGGAGCTATGATGACTTAAGCGAAGCTCCAATTCAGATCTGTTTTCAAGACGTCCTCAACGGATGTATAACGTGAGTATAGTCTTGCGCACTGGAATGTACAGTTTGTACTTCTTGCTGATGTTAACTATGTCAAACGACGCTGACCTCCGGCATGGCATGATCACGTGCCCTTCTAATGCCGTAGCAAAAGTAGTGCTTCTTCTGCATTCCTCCTGGATCAAGGAGCGCAGAGAGGCAAGCATCGTATCCTATGGAAACCGGCGTGAGTTGGTTAAAGTTCAGCGAACGAAGGCTACATACATACGCGTAAAGCTTCTGGCCCACGAATGAATTCAACGACGGCGTCTTGGTCAAAACGGTATTTCAACAGATGAGCGGCAATGGTTGCATTGTCCAAGATATAGTTGGGGTATTTCCAAAAGATCAGAATAACGAGATTGATGTGAAAAACAGGATTGAGAGGCATGGTGTTACAGGGTTAGAGTATTGAAGGAGCAGACCGAGGCAAAAGCTTTGGGTGGACTTGGAAAGATGGAAGGTAAATCCGGAAATGTTTCCAACACCGCTGCTCATAGCATTTAAGAAATACCCCTTGCCTTTGGGTAGAAACGCTAATAGTTGCGCTACGTTGACCCCGCGGTGGTGCGACACGCCATTTCCGGCCCCGGAGAGACTTGACAACTACACTGGGCAACTTTACAACATTCCATCGAAGCCAGCAAGCATCTACCGTACTTCACATAAGCACAAAAGTCATCACGAAATTTCCCCCCATAACAATTTGTCATCTCGTCCGACCGTCGTTGTTCGTGTGGTGATGGTACTGAGACAGTTGGTGATCAGCCCGTAGATCCCGTTCAGGAACCCGGGCTGAGCGGGGCACCTCCTGCAACTCTTACATGGCGCCCCAACACTCGCGTTAGCTACGTATTGACTACCCCTTACACTCGCATTAGCTATGTATTGACTTCCCCTTTATCTACTGAAGCATCCTCAGTCCTGCGTTGGCAACATTGCTCCAACACTAAATCCTTCGATATGGGTGACGTTCAACAGTGCACGGTTGTTTTCACAGATGGTAGTTCGCTCAAGCAAGGCAAAAAGACTGCCGCTGGTGCTGGCATCTTCTTTGGCGCAAACGATCCAAGGTAAGCGTCCAGATAAAACCGCTCTTGCATACAAAGACGCCGCCAACAACGTATCACAACGAGTCTATGGCTGACGTCCTCGAAGAAATTGTAGTAGTTTCGTGGACGGGAATCAGACCAATCAACGCGCGGAGCTGACTGCCGTCCGAGACGCGTTATCAAGAGTCAAATAGACCGAAAATGTCATCATTTTCTCCGACTCGCGGTACGCCATGAACTCAGTAACGACCTGGTACAAGCGAAATGTGATTAAAAGTTGGAAGAGCGTTCAGCCAATCTCCTTTTCTAACTGGGATCTTATAGAAGACACCGTCAAGATTCTGAATGAGCGCAGGATGAAAGGTGGGATCACAGAGTTCTACTGGGTCAAAAGTCACTCGGGCAATGCAGGCAATGAAGCAGCCGACAAACTGGCTGGACATGGTGCACGGTATGCGCTACCTACACCTGACAGGGTTTGAGTATCCTGATTCAGCGCTTGCTAACATGCACCAGTCGCGCATTCGAGAACCGCTACGGCAAACCGTACAGCGAAGAACGACGAAGTCTTTCGAACCTCTGGAACCCCGCTCCACCTGGGTGGAGGGTGATCAAACTCGCGAACGGGGATGAGTAACTCGTGCGCATCGACAAGCAGGAGCTGATGCGAAAGAAGAAACAAGAGAAGAAACGAGTTGAGAAAGCACAAGCTGCTCGAGGCAATTACAAGCGAACCAAAAACAACCCGAATGGGAAGAAGGCGCCGCAGCCGAAAAATGCGATGGAGAGGATAGCGGCCAGGAAAGCCATGGAAGACGCCATCGAAGAGGACCCCATGGCGTACCCCCCGCCGAGGTGTTTATATCAGTCAGCCGGGAAGACAGCGTTGCCATTAGCATCAGGAATGAGAAGACAAACGGATAGTGAGGCGTATAGATCAGGTATGCTAGAGGCATCGGATGGTGGGCGGATCCCACCGGTGGTAGACATGATCCGGTTTGGAGAGAATGAATTCACTCCAAAGGAGATCGTAGTGACACATCATGAGATGGGGGAGACGGAGGACACGGAGGACGTGGCGGACGCGGAGTACGTGGAGGACATGGAGGACATAGAGGACATAGAGGACAGGGAAGAGACGGAAGAGATGGAAGAGATGGAGGAGACGGATGACATGGAGGACATGGAGGTGACGGAGTGATTTCGTTTCGAAAAGGTGCCATTTTCGTGTATATTAGAGTCAAATTCTATGTGTCACTATCTATCATACGTCCTCACCAAGTGGTTTATGCCTCAAGCAAGCCCGTAACCTCCTTCACCATCAACCTATCCTCGGCAGCCTTCGCTTCAACCTTCCCTATCGTGCCTGCGGCATCCATCACCTTCCATGTGTCCCTCAGCTCGCCTTGCAGATCGGCAGCATATACCAACCAGCCAACACAGATGATGCCCATCTTCTGGTTCTCGCTCCACTGCTCCTCACTACTGATGTTTTCCAGCAGCGAAGCCAGTAGCTCGCCCTGCTCCGCTTCCGGTAGCTCAGACTCCGAAGGTAGCGCATGCGATACATTTGCGCTGTGCTTCTTCATCCTTATCTGATGATTGGAAGATGTTATGTTCATCGCCAGGCTGAGGGCGGAGGCTTTGAGCGCGGGGTGTTTGTCGTCGAGTAGGGCGGTCGTTAGGATCGAGATGAGCGTGGACGAAAGCGGTGGAGCGAGGAGGTGTGGTACGAAGAGCGGCGAGGTGAAGAGATTACATGCGAGATGTAGCGTCGTAAGTCGAAGCGGGTAAGGCGCAGATTCGCCAAGCTTGTCTACGTGATCGAGAAGATGGTGGATGGTTGCTGGTGTGCCTGTGGCTCCTTTGTGTTCTTCTGCAAAGAAGCCAGCTACACGAACGTCGATCAGCGATATTCTAAGCAGGTCGAGTGCAGTGAAGAGAAGCTCTGGTGGAAGGACTGAAGTGCTTCTCCTCAAAAATTGGGCAAGCTGCGGAAGATCGCCTAATGGCGCTTCCATGGCTCCAGATTGCTCGCGCATCTGGAGGAAGGACACAATGGATGATACCGCCGGATCTTTCCCAGCATCTCCCATCTTCGCGACCAGCTTCTCCATTGGCGGTACCTTTGCGAACTTGACTGGTCTTTGACTTTGCCGTAACAGCATGGATGTGCTCTTCTCGAGATGGGGATGGGTTGGGAATGCAGCGTTGACTAACATCTCCACATTGTTCCGCAGCTGCCTTGGATCAGCTCCACTCCACTCATCTTGCTTCTCGCCTCTGAGGTATGTTATGAAAGTTGGTGTCGCGCGAACGTTCGGATAACGGGTGCTGATCGAGCGCTCGGCGTGGCTGAAGTCTATCTTGATGAAGACACACTTCGTACCGTTCTCGGCGGCGAGATCGTCATACGGCTGATATACCAGTTTACATGGCGCGCATGTAGAGCTCGTGAAGAAGATGATGGCGCAGCGGTCCTTCGCTAGATCGAGAAGGCGATCTACGTCTCTCAACGCTGTTATGTTGTTGACCCTGCCCGTATTCATCTCCAATGCGCTTCCTCCAGATGAGGCTCCGTTGGATGTGTTTCCATTCGAAGTCTTCGAGTTGGCTTGTGGTTGTACTGGCTGCGGCGTCGGTGCTTGCGTGATGGGTCGCATGGCGGCGTCGATTTGCGGCCGTAGCATCTGCCCGAACGGCGTATTGAGGACGGTCTGTGGGAGCGATGTAATGTGGTCTGGTATCCCCTTGCCTACGAGGAACATGGCGAAGTCGTTGGAGAAGTTGTTGCAGTTGTGCTCAAATAGATCGTAGGCCTGCATCTGCCGTCAGCGTAGTCTAAGAACAAGTGTCAATTGGAATAGTACCTCAGGGGTATAAACCTCCTTCAAAGACTCGAGATACTCCAATATAACCTCCATGGGAAGTGCAGTTTGGCCAAGCTTGATGACTTCCATGGGCCGGCCATGATGTGTAGCTCCCGCCTGACATGTCTGTACGCCTTGGCCGTAGTAGTACTCTACGCCATCAATCACGATGGAGGTATGATATACAGCATCGATCTGTATGCCTAGAAACTGCATCGACATGCTCCGTGCAAGACCCTGTATGCAGTTAGTTCTGGGCGATTCTGGAAAGCATCGCGAATGCGCGCGCCTGTACACCTGCTCAAAGCACTTACTTGAGAAAGGTCATACACGTATAATTGGACATCCATGTTGGAGACTGTTTGCGAACGTTTACGGAGCGGTATCGCGCTTTGTTGGTACGTGAAGGCGTGGTTCGAAGTCGTAGGCAGCTAACAAGATGACGTAGAACATTCGAGAAGTCGCGAAGGCTGACGAACGTCAAAGCGCCGGCGCGACCCGCGACCCGCGACATCGCGCTGGCACATGACCTGCTGGGCGCAGTCCAGGTCAGTCACTGTCGTCATTCCATCGGTTGCTAAAATGCCCACATTGACTCGAGAATGTGTCTGTAGGTCTTGCGTGTGTTGGGGGAATGCGGTACCCCTCAAGTTCACGGACGCACGGACTCATCCTAGGCCGCAACGCCGCTGATCTTCAAGATCTCTATGCCGGATGCTTAGATGGAACAACGGAGGGAAAAAGTTTTTTACTAACGTGCGTCTGGTCATCGCCATTCCAAAGATGCCGTAGTGTCATCAAGTCTAACGAAAAAGTAAGACCGCCCAGGCCTCGGTGATCTGGACGGCCGACGTTATGCCGCCGCCATCCAGCGCCCGCCCCCCGGCCCCTCACCGAGCGCCGCCGTGGCCATGAAATGATTCGACTTTGGCCATCTCCATCTCCCTGCACTCGATGACGTCTTATCTGATTACATGCTGCCATCGAAGTAGGTGCCACGGGGGTAGCGGCGCCTCAGTCTGGAATTGGTGCGGCTCGTGTAATTGCCATCCCTCTTCCCAGTCTTCCGGCGTCCATCCTTCGTGCTCTTGCAGCAGTTGCTCAACATCGTAAGGTGCGCCAACGGGGAAGTTGGTTCTGACCAAAGAGCTGTGCGTTGAAATAGCACCGATTGCTTCTGGAAATTCTTCATGTATGAAACTTGCAGTGTAAATTCGCTTATCAGGCCAAGAAGGTCGTGGTAGGAGTCCAGTATCGTAGCAAATGTCGAGGGCGCTCTGCCAAGCAGCATCGCGTTGGATGATTTTGAAGATGCGCGACGTCTGGTCAGGCAAGGGATCACCATCAAGTACGAGGGTGAAGGAATCTTGCGGCATCCCGAGCGAGGGGAGTGCCCTAGCCTCCATGATCCATGTACCTACCCCCTGGCTGATGAAACCAGCGTCACAACGGTGACGGTCCAGAAGCCCGTGATCAAGGAAATTCTGATCACCATGGAGGTAAGCGCTTATGTCCTTATAGGACACGGGGATTGCATTTCTCCAAAGACTGACAAAGCGCTCAACCTTGAGTTGCGGGTGTTCTCGACAGACGTCAATGAACCCCCTACCATGGCTTTGAGGAAACGCGATGGATTCGCGGTCTTCTATCAGTATAATTTTCCTGATATTGTCACGCGTAACCCTCGGCATAGAGTGCAACAACCGGAGAGCCATAGAAGCTGCTGAGTAAGTGTACTTTGTGTTGGAATGAGGGACCACGTTGTCGTCTATGATGAGCTCACGCAGTTTCGCGATCTCCTCGATATCTGTAATTTGCCATGGCACAGGCCTTGCTTCGTTCAACGCAAGAGTTCTGGCATCTTCATGCGGATCTGGGTCTGGAATGACCATAACTCTCGGACCAAACAAGAATCCAGATCGCTTCTGGCGAGCCTCCAGTTTTAGCGCCTCAGCTTCACCGAGAAATCCGGGCTGTTGAGAGATCAAGTTCAACGTGAATGCCACAAAATCGCGCCATATTGATGGAGTTACACAGCATTCCTCACACAGCGCGCCGATGAGACGGATTTTTCCACGCAATCGCCAATAATCTATTACAGGCGCGAATTGTGGATATAGCGACTTCGCCACCTGCGCCTGCTCTTGGCTGAGAAGCTCAGGAGCCAGTGAGTCTAGTAGTGACTCCTGTCTCTCGTATATCTCTCGATTGACGACATGAAGTACACTAGCATGCTCCTGTGTATGATCTGAGTGAAATGTCTTGAATCGGAGTGTGTTGGTCCGCAGCGCAAGCCCGTGTGTTTCGGCAGCGATTTGCCGGCAAGCAAGCACCAAAGACAGGTCGATGGATAGACCATCGGCCCATCGAAGCTTGTTGGTGACGAAATCATATTTGAAGCCTCCTTCACCGTCGAAGTAGTATTCGTAAATGAGATCGCGCAATTCGCGAGGCAGTCGGAGAAGATGCGCCATGATGGGGTCGGTCGGTAAAATGGCCTGCTGGGGATTCGCTTCGGTAGCTGTTTCGGCGGTTAGCTGTGCAACCCCGCTTCAGCGGCAGCCATGCTCACTATCGTTGAGGCGCGGAGGATCGCTACCAAAATATTGTCGTCGCGGGTCTGTTGGGGGAAAAGTCTCTCACAGCAGACACTTTCCTAGCAAGCTGGAAGACAACCCAAAAGACGCATCGGTGACCTTATATATGCGAAAGTGCAGCAATGAGAAAAGTGGGACATAGCTTGGTTGATCGTACCAAGGTTGTTTGCGGTACGGACCGTTTTGGCCTCAACGGCAAAGCTCGCTAAGGCGATTGCTTCCATGGAACGAGTCGCACGACCAAAATCTCGGCATCATCACGTTCGCAACGTTTTTTGTTCACATCCGCACACACATCCACAGTACACATGAGGGAAAGAGAGTTATATTTGTGGTGGGACGAGGTCCACCGAGTGCAATTTATGAAGGATGACCACGACGAGGCAGCGTAGCTGCCGTACACGAATGAGAGACGAGATGAAAAAAGCAGGGCCTCGCTACCCTGCAACTACGAATAGCTTAAGACGATGATTAGCTAGAGACTCTAGTCAGCGTGGTACAGTGATCTGGTGTGTAGGCAAGACATACCTGGGAGCCGAAGTTATCTTAGTAACATCATTGTTAGAAGCTCGTTGGGTTGCGCAGTACCCGAGCAATCGTTGTCTCCAACAGCGGTTGTGAGGGTTTTGGTGGGTATCCTGTGTATTGCTATCTATCCTAGATGCTAAGGTACATGAGATGACCGGGGCGCGCCCTTTGTAGCCTTAGCTTGCCAAGGCTAGTCATGTGACAGAGATCGCTGTCTCCATATTTTGCGGGGTTTTGAATCTTTTAGTGCAGCCGTGATCAACAGCCATCGTTGTAAGTTGCCTATTTGAGGAAGTGCGGGGTAGTGGGTGGGTTGTGGGTTCTGTGCTCTTGCTGTGATCAACAGCTTTTTTGAAAGTTGCCTATTAAGGAAGTGAAGCTGTTGGGACTAGTGAGACCCAGCCGTATGGCCCCTCACCAAAGTACAGCTGTCTCTAGGAAATGCTAGCTATCGACACGACCGAACCGTCTGGAATAATACCTATAGATTTCGGTAATCAGAATGATCCCGAGCATATCGCCTCGCCGGCTGACGACACTGCTTCAGGACGCAAGCACGACGATGAGGGGCAGCGTCCAGCCTCGCTTACGAGCAAGGGGTAGGCGCACACCACGACAATAACATCCCAGGAACGCGCCTATGGCACCAGCCATCAGCTCCCATTGCACAAGAAGCGGTCAGCGCCTTGTCAAATCCTGCACCATTACCTCCAAACATGTACCTGCGCAAGCCCTCGCTCGCTCAGCTCCGGTCCAACGAGACCCTGATCCCGCGTCTCTCCACATACGCCTCACACCTCCACCTCTGCCCATCCATCATGCAAGCAGTTCATTCGCTGCATCCCCTGGTCGTTCAGCGCAATCCTTTTCTGCCCAGAATGCGGCTCTACTCACGCGTTCGCCTCCTCCGCCGCGCAATGCGACGTGATTGGTCCCTCGCTAACGCCACTAACTTTGCCTTGCAGCCAATTCTAAGTTCGCGACGAGGGTTCGCCAACTACGCTAGGCACAACTCAACTGCGTGTGGCCAGCAGACATTACGATTTGGTCGGGATAGGCATGGCAAAGGAGTGGGGGTTGATTGTTCTGGAAGGTGGAACATGTTGCGATTTGTGCATGAAAACCCCTCATGTTCTCACTATTGTGATTTGACAGCCCGGCATATCCTTTCTTTCTCGTTGTGCAACGCAGTCTTCGGTCGTTCTCGATTCTATTTACCTAGGCCAATTCGCTCACTACTGTACTGTCGTTTGCTTTCTCCTCGACTTCCTTTCATTGTAACCTTCGGTCATCGTCAGCATCACTTGACGAACTACCATCGCTAGCAGCTCAAAAGTTGGAATCGTCCGATCAAAGACACCATCGACAGATCTCATTACGCTTGAGCACCAAGATCAGCAGAGGCTAGAAGAAGACATCGAATCCTCCACGACACTACCAAATAAACAAAATGGCACCAGCGCCTACCTCAACCTTCACACCTGAAGCCCCACCAGCCATAATCCCCAACGCCAGCTCCCGTAGCGACGGCTTTAGTCCCGGCGCTATCATTGGCATTGTGATAGCCATCGTCTGTCTTCTCCTCGCCGTACCCTTGATTGCCATCTGCCTTCGGCGATACGAAAAGACACGTCTGCGGGAGACACCCAAAAGCCCAGGAAGCAGCAACATCAGTCTACGCAGCGTGCAAGAGCACCACAGCTTGAGCAGTATACTCGTGACGAAGGAGTTGTCGCGGTCGAGTATAAGGATGGAGAGGGTTGACTCGGGGATCAAGAGGCCAGATGAGGTTTATGAGAACGGAAGAGAAAGGGAGAGAGAGTGGAGCTGTACTGAGGTCAGAGGTGGGTGATAAGGTCGGGTTGGCCAATGGCATTGCTTCCAATAGCGATGCGGACATCATACGGAATGCATGCAGGTAACGCTACATATGGCATCAGCGTCTCTGGCATACAACACCTGCGACGGCAGTACACATGCATGTACTAGGTCGGTGCTACAAGAAGGCATCAGCCAACGATCGGGGACGGTAATGAAGCGTTATAACGGTGGTGGCTGCGGAACCGGACCGCGCCGTAGCTGACCTGGCCGTGCGCGCCCATTGCAAATGCTTACGAAAACCATGATCGCAATGAAGAGTCGCAGGGATATGACGGATATTGGGCTCCACATGTACCCACCCGCCAGAACATCGAATTTTCTGGAAGACACGCCATCGCCATGTCTGCTCGACGATGGTCAAGAAAGCGCGTCCAACCAAGCGCGTTCCGCAAAGATCGCGAAGCTGATCTCATCCTCGCGACTGCTGCACGACTTGTTGTGTCGCATGGAACAATGTAGTCCGATCCAAGTGAAGATTTGGCTAGCTGGCACTAGCACCTCGGCGAAAAGAAAAAATCTGGCCGAGCTTTGGATCAATACTGGAACAAAGCAGCTTACAAGACGCTTGATAATGGTTGAATTCAGCAAAGAGGTCCACTTTCGTTGCTGTTGCTAAGCTTTTGCTAAGCTCTCTCCTTTGCTACAGTGTTTGTACGCCATGAAAAAATCGATATCGTTATCCACGATAAATAGCATCGCAATGCGTCTCAAATTGCCCACTTTCACTTCCGTGCTTTTCTGTGTTTGATTCAGTACCGAGAAACTCTTCTTTTCACGTTCTTTTCAAGATGTTCAATATGCAAATTGCCCTTCCTACACTCCTGCTAGCACCAGCAGCGTTAGCGGTGACAAAAGGTGCAGGAGATGTTTGGACACATAGCCCACGATACGACTACATCATCGTTGGTGGCGGAACATCAGGCCTTGTTGTTGCGAATCGTCTTTCCGAAGACTACAACGTCTCAGTAGCAGTCATCGAGGCTGGAGGCGTTGAGCTATACAACCCCAACATAACCGACACCTCGAAGTATGGAAACGCGTTTAGCACCTCGGTCGACTGGCAGTATCAAAGCGTTCCTCAGACCTTTGCTGGAAACGCCTCACAAGTTTTGCGTGCAGGCAAGGCTCTTGGAGGAACAAGTAACATCAACGGTTCGTCCAAAACAAATCTCAACTCGACCCTTAGTTCTGACAGTTTCGTCCGACAGGAATGACATATCTACGAGCTGAAGCTGCACAAATCGATGCATGGCAACAGATCGGAAACGCAGGCTGGGATTGGGAGAGCTTGATGCCATACTACAAGAAGAGCGAATACATCCAACAACCAAGCGAATCCCAGCTCCTCCGTGGAGCCTCAATGGATCTTAAGACCCACGGTACCACTGGTCCTTTAGCCGTTGGATGGACGAACAACATGATGGGTGAGGAGGTCATGTCTTCGATCAATCAGACTTTCGATGCACTGGGTGTTCCCTTCAACGACGAGCCCAACGCAGGGAACATGCGAGGCCTTACAGTCTTCCCTAAGACCATTGAGCAAGCGGATAACGTCCGAGAAGATGCTGGACGCGCTTACTATTGGCCCGTGTCCAAGCGGCCCAATCTTGACATCTATCTCGAATCCTTCGTCGAAAAGATGATATGGCATCCAGAATCAGAGCATCGAGACGCTAAACGAACCGCAAGTGGCGTTGTCTTCTCAGGGCTCAATGGTACGAGGACCACAATCCTCGCCAATCGCGAAGTCATACTTTCGGCAGGAAGTCTCAGATCGCCGCTGCTTCTGGAGCAGTCGGGCGTTGGTAACCCATCGTAAGCACCAACTCAAGTCGATACGGATACACTCATGACTAGACTAACGATGACTATAGCATTCTTCAAGAGCACAATATTGACGTCGTCGTCGACCTTCCATTCGTTGGCGAGAACTTGCAAGACCAAACCACCACCGACATGTTCTACACCAACAACAACAGCACCAACTTCACTGGACTCGCCGGTTATGCAGCCTACTTCAACGTGGACGACGTTTTCGAATCCGATCTTGCTGCTTTCAACGCAAGCGTCGCAAGCGCTCTCAAGCAGTACGCCGACAGGACCGCCAACGCCAGCGGCATCATCGACAGCTCCGTGACCGAGAAGCTCTTCCGCATCCAGTACGACCTCATCTTCAAGAACAAGATTCCCATTTCCGAAATCATTGTTTCGCCCGCAGCGACTGGGCCCATTACTATCGAGTACTGGGGCCTTTTGCCCTTTTCGCGCGGCAGTATCCATATCAACTCTACCAATGCATCTGCGCCGGCGAACATCAACCCCAACTACTTCATGCTGGACTATGATATCCGTCAGCAGATTGCGACGGCCAAGATGGCGCGCAAGTTCGCCAATACAGCGCCTTTTTCCAACGCACTCTCTAGCGAGACGACTCCCGGACTCGACGTCGTACCCACCAACGCATCCGACGCAGTCTGGGAGAAGTGGCTGAAATCGACGTGTAAGTTCCCGCCCTTACAACAACATGATGCAGTCAAAGTGAAACTGAAACTAATACAACGTTGTAGATCGCTCCAACTTTCATTACATCTCGACGGCTGCCATGATGCCGCGTGAGCTTGGGGGCGTGGTAGACTCCAACCTCACTGTCTATGGTACCAGCAATGTTCGCGTCGTTGATGCTTCTGTTGTTCCATTCCAGATCTGCGGTCACCTGACATCGACGCTGTATGCTATTGCCGAGAAAGCAGCAGACATGATCAAGGCTCGGTATGAGTAGAGCCGAAATCGGCATACGATTGGTAAGGAACCGCTCAGCCTGAGACTGTTATCAAAAGAGAGCCATGTAGTTGTAGTTTAGTGTTTGGCATTTTGCTTATATCCATTTATCTCTCGTTCGAATAACAACATTGCGCGCTTTTTACAACTTCCGATACAAATGGACTTGCATACGCATATTCTCCAATTCAATCGGATAACGCAATCTCTCATCCAGCCTATACCATCTACTCCCATCTTCCTTGATCTTCTCCCACCTGACAATCTCATCTTTACTTCCCCGGTTCTCGGTCGCTTGTTCCAGCAGCGTGTGGTCCAGTAGCCACTGCATCGGGTACTTCTTCTCAGCTCCGTTCAGCGTGACTGAAGAGTAGCTTCCGGGACTGTCGACTACGAGGAGAAGCGCACCGGGCTGGAGGACCGATGTCATTTGGAGAAGAAATTTCTGGGTCAGAGGCATGGATGTCGAGTAGAGTTCGTTGAGGGTAAAAAGCAGCGTTACGAGATTTGCGTCTGCGAGTTGAGCAGATAGGTCTTCTGTCGAGGCTTGGAGTACATCTTGCTGCTTGAAGTGTACCGAGATATCTTCAGGGTTGAGAGGTGAGACATTTGCGGCTCTCGCAGCTGCTGATGCGTATTTGTTTAATGTCGGCGCGGTGGTGAGTTGTTTTGCGAGATTCTCCACGACGACGCTCCAGTCGGCGACATCTATTGCAGCGACTTCGATATGTGACCCGGTGCCCTCACTTTTCCCATCCTCTTCTTCTTCTGCGTTTATGCTAGACATCAACTTCAGCATGCCACCCAGCGCCACAATCTCTGCACCTGCTCCGCCACCGAGACACACGACTTTCCGACTTTTCGACTTGGTACCCTCTTTGCCGGCCTCTTCTCTTTCTTCTTCTCCTTTATCCATGTCCGCCCATAACTTGTCTCTCCACTCCCATATCAGATCTAGATACCCCAACGCACGACTGGGACTCCATCTCGCCGCATACACCTCCAAATACTCATTCTTTCCAAACGCAGTCGCAAAATCGCGGTTATAAAGATGACCTTTGACTTCCTGCAGTAGCGGAGCAAAGTCTGAACTCAGCCTTTCCGCAAACGAGTTTCGAAAGATGTTGAGTAAGAGTTGTTGAAGTTCAATGGGTATATACGATATACCAGGCCCTTTGACTGGGGCAGTCGAACTCGGACGTTTGTCGCTCTTCGGTTTCACAGGTTTCTCTCCTTCTCTCTGCGCCTTGCGCTTCGCGTTGAGTTTGGAATTTGGCGCCATGTTCGTTGCTTATCGTCGTTGTTGTTTACACAGCCCAATGCAATGGGTCAGAGACTAAGTGGGAAGGAGGGTGGGATGAAAGTCTCATCGCGTTATCGATAGGCGGTAAGCGAAACGAGTTGTGTGTGGTTCGCCCCCGCATGTTCAGTGTTCGGAATCCTTTCCGAAACTGCATCCCGACCTCGGGGCATGTTGCGACGAGCATACGGCCTGACTCACTTTCCTACATTGATTGACTCACTAGCAGAATCTCACAAGTATATACAAGCAGATTGCATTCACGCAAGTATACATCATTGACACATCTCATAATGCGTCTTCCCTACGTCCCCGACCCTCCAAACTTCACGTCCGAAGAAGACAAAGCTGTCGAGCAGCGCGTGAGACAACGTCGAGGCGAAAAGGGTCTCATAGCTCTGGACAGAACATTACTTCATGCTCCTCCGGTCGCCGATGGATGGTAAACCATAACACCTCACCGAATAGCAAGAGCAAAGTCCTGACTAACAACGTGTCTTTTCACAAACAAAACAGGAACTCATTCCTAGGTTCCATCCGCACCAAAACCAGTCTTCCAACTGCCATCCGCGAAACAGCCATATGCCGCGTCGCCGTCCTAAACAAAGCATGGTATGAATGGGAATCGCACTCGCCCATCCTAGAATCCGCAACAGACGTCACCGAGCACCAAGTCCGCGCCGTCCTCGAGTCTGCTGCCCGAGAACCGCTGGACGATATCCTTGGACCTCGACTCTCGGCCGTGCTAGCCTATACAGACGCCATGACGCTAGATGTGCGTGTCCCGGATGCTGTGTTTGAGAAGCTCAAGGAAGCGGGGTTCAGCGACAAGGAGATTGTAGAGATTACGGCGACTATTGCAGCGTATAATTGCGTGTCGAGATTCCTAGTTGCGCTGGATGTTGGAGAGAGGAATGCGCAGACGGGGCCGAAGGAAGGGGGTAAGGAGTAGTAGACAAGCTGCGCAGAGAGACATGTTTGTCCGTCAATTCAAAAAGGACAACGGTCACGTCACATGTTTACTTTTTTCTTGGTCTTATATACGACTGCTGTCCTACACACCTCACATACACACACACACTTCTCTCCCATCCCACCATGACCCGCTCTTCCAAAACGCTAATCACACCCTCTTATTCTGCCTCGCAATCTTCCTCCTCTGCGCCAACATATGGCTGAACAAAATATACGAGCCCGGCACATAAACCGCCAGTATCGCCCAAAGCGCATAAGCAAACATCTCATTCCTCTCCTTTGCCAGCGGAATCGCGCTATACACCAACCAGCACTCACTCGCAATACCCAACGGATACAGAACCAAGAAAGTGTTGTACCGCAGCCAAGTCCACAGCTTGGGCACTCCAAGCCCAGACAGCGAGAAGACAAAGTACGAGTAGCGTATTACTTCTGTTACGCTCCAGGCAAGCAGCATGGTAGCGTAGGCGGGGGAGTGGCGTGTAGATAGAGGGAACGCAGGAGGCGAGGCGATGAGGTGTACGAGCAGGAAGCGGGAGGCTACTTGCATGAGGGTTGTTAGGAGCGGGGCGCGAACGAGGCCTGTAATTGTAGTTGTTAGCTGGTCGTCAAAATCTCATCTTTATGGTGTAAAACGAGAGAAGAAGAGATATGTTAAATGGGAGATAGATGACAACACGTACCAACTAGACTGTGCAAGACTTCCAATCCAGCGAGCGTCTGTACAGTCCTCGTGTATCCCTCGAGACCATCATACACCTTCCCGCTCGCCAGTCCCCGTCGCGTTGCGGTGAACCAGTCGTCGCTGCCAAAGAACGCGCCGGCCTTTTGTGCATTGACCACTTCGTTCGCACCGATCGTCACGGTCTGGTACAGCACGCCTGCCCACAGTGCTGCAGAGGCGGCATTATAGGCGAGAAGGTATGCGTTCTTCGCCCCGGATTGTTTGGCGGGTCGCTGGTCATTTGGCGCGCTGGCGGCCTTTGCTGGTGTAGATTTGGCGGACATTGTTTTGTGTGTGTGTGTGCTGCAGACTCGATTGCAGTGAGTGGATTCGTTCGAGAATGGAAGGAGCGAGATGCAGCCTCGGAGGTAATGACGAGGTGACGACGGTGTGTGTGTGTACCTGAGGCTCGCTGATGGGCATGCAAGCTGGCATTTCTCGTATGGCCTCGGCTCGCGTACCTGAGAGACCCTGACGTCTTGGCGCGGCTGATGCCGGCTTGTGCCATGTGGGATGAGATCATCATACGTCAATCTTCTCGTAGATTTCCAGGGGTGCGATCATCGGATTCTCATCATCTAAGCTGTAAACGCTGCTTGGGATTAAAACAAATCAAACCAGATCAAACATATGAGTCACTCGTCTAGACATCGTCATGACAATCACTACGGGAAGTGAGTCGTGTTGAGACACAACAGGGCAACGGCGAAGCAGTCGAATGACTTGGTAGAACAAGCTCAATGCAGACGCACTTCCCAAACACCTCGTCTTTCTTGTATTCAAGCTGTGATAATCAATGGACAGACGGTGATCATGTTCAAATGCATACTAGACTACGAAAGAATGGCAATGAACCGAGACATCCCCCAACCTCCCTACCGCCTCTCTCACACTCTCAATGTTTTCCGAAGCCCATGCAAGCCCATCAAGCCGCGGCTTTGCATCTTTCATTGTACAGTAGTTAGACCTTCCATATCCAACCCCGCCCTTTTTCTTCTCTTTCATTGGGGATAACCAGCATCCTAGAGGAAGCAGACCACCCATGAACATTCACCGAAAAAAAAAGTAAAAAAAAAGGAACGCCGTGCTATGCAAATGCAACAAATGCGAGTTAGATATGATGATTGCGCAAACTGAGATGATGCAAGCAAGGGTATCGTCAAAACACCCAACCATGACTGAGCCGAGATAGGAGAGATGAGAAGGTTCGTCAAAGGTATCCGCCTCTGGAGTTGCAATGAAGCTTCCCCAGTTACAAGAAGACCTGAATCATGCTCTTCTTGTTCGTCACATTCTTGTCGCAGCCATCAACTACGCAAGTCTTGAAAGGAAGCGTATTCGCCGGTCTCTCCTTGCCCTTTGCGCTGCGCTTCAACGATCGGTTGGTCGTGCATTCACCGCAGTAAACCTGAGTAATCATCAGTTGGCTGTTCTCTCCATCTCCGTCGTATTGAACTTACGTGGCCGCATCCCTTGACAATCCACACCTGCCTCTTTGTCTCGTCTCCCCCAACACACAGCTCGTCCTCGCAATTGGGACACACCAGCGCACCCCCGTCCTCTTCGGGACTCCTCGTAAAACCCTCAGGTGCCTTTGGCGGCGCAGTATACGTTGGCGGTGGAGGCGGTGCCTCCCTGCCCCCACGGGGACCAATTTCGAAACCCACCATCTCAAAGTCCATGACGGGCGCCATGAAAGCGCCAACTCCGACTCTAATATGTGGTGCACGTCCCCTCGACGCGCTCCTCGAAGGCGCCACTGGCTCCTGTTGGTTCCCAAACTGCGTTCTCGTCCGATTGACCTGGTCGTGAAACCGTTCGATCTGTGCGCGGAGGTGTGTGAAGCGCCCGTTTAGTGTGAAGAGGTCGAGGACATTGTCCATTTGCTCGTTTGCTTGGCGACGGCGTTGTTCGTGCTCGGGGAGGGCGTTTGCGCGGAGGAATTCCACCTCTTCGTCGCCATCTGAGTTGTCGCGGGGGAGGCCGTTGGGCAGGGGAGAGAGAGAGCCATGGGGGCGGCGGCCACCCGGTATGGTGCGGGAGGATATGAATTCAATCTCTGGTGAACTCGGCGCTTGTCCTGGTGCTGGTGCATCGACATTCCACTCTTCGTCCCCGTTGTCCAGGTCGATGATGATGTCCATCCCCCGCGGTAAGCGAGGCGCGTGTCGGCGATTACGATGGCTATGCGACTCTTGCTGTTCTCTTTGCCTCTCCCTCTCCCGTCGTGGTTCTCGCGCTTGGTGAGGTATTTGGCCGTCGTGGCTTGCACCGTAACCCGAATCATCAGCCGTGAGATCGATGACGTTGTTGTCCTGCCTCACATGGATGGTGTCGTCCTGCCTCACATGGATGGTGTCGTCCTCGTCCATGTCATCATCCCCTGTCAAGTCCACCGATGCTGTTGCTTGCGACTGCTGTGCCGAGCCAGCGGGCCGCCTGTAATCGAAGCCATCCCCTGCAAACCGCCGTGTTGCTGAAGACGCCATGTGTTGGACGCGCGGGAGGTACAGGCCGGCAGTACGTGAGTGTTCGGCACTGGCGCTGGAATCGGCGCGCTCAAGGGGCGGCCGGGCATGCGATCGTAATGCCGACTCAAAGCTTGGTGTTGCTTCGCGGCCGAAATGGGGTGCTGCTTCGAGGCCGAAATGGTAGCGTGTGGGAGGCTCGTAGTAGTTTCCGTTTCCTGGAATATGTTGTCTGTCGTCATCGTCATCGTCGTCGTCAATGTGGTAGGTTGGCGGTGGAGCTTCGCGGTTGTTCCTATTGCCAAAAGGGTCGTATTCGAAAAAGGCATGCGGGCCAGAAGCTTCCTCTTGGTCCATTTGGGCATGTGAGCGCTACGTGACGTTCTCTATCAGCGCCTATTCTCCGCTCACTCGCTGGGTACAACCGCCAGCGGCACTCACCTTCTGCTGTCTGTGCGTATACCCAAAAGGCAGTGCTTCTCCGTCCATGCCGGATGTGAGGGAGAGTGTGCGGCCGTGGGTGGATGTGGGTGGAGTCGCAGTCGGAATCGACAGCACCGAGCTGAGGTTGAGCGAGGGTTGGGCCCGTCTGGTGCCGTTGGGGTGCTGACTTCGGCGAAACTGTGGTGGCGCTGGGAACATTGGACATCTGTGCAACATGACAAACCATCCAACGTCAATCCTCTCAACCCTTTCACCTCACCGTATACCCGCACAAATCAGTCACCGACTATTCTTCGACACTCTTCTCGCATCTTCTGCGACTTGATTGCTCCTGACGCCATCGCAATTGCCTCGCTTGCACATGTGAGATGGATCGTGACGTAGTGTTTTTCAGCATATGGAAACATGATATTCAGATTGATGGTCTCGGAGACGACCCGATTTTCCCGTCGTCTACAGTAATGCTACAAACCAATTTACGCCATATCGCCCTTCATGCACTAGCAACGTCCTCAAATGCATGCGCATAGCTTCTAGATTGCCCCACACATCATGGAATACCCTCGAGGTAGTCGATCAAGTTCCCGCTAACGGAAGACTATTAAAAGTGATGGAGTATACCTTCAGACCGATTCTCTGGCTAAGGCGCTGTCAGCACTGCCAAACCACCCTCGGTAGTCAGCGCCACAACATTCTCGGCCCTGCCACCCCAAGCGACATCCTTTGCCGGCGCCGCCTTCCTGACGAGCTCAGCCCAGCTCTTCGTCGCCTTGGTGTACTGCTGCACCGAAACACTGCCAGTTCCACCAATTGCCAAGAACTGGCCGGTGTAATCCCAGCTAACGCTATTAACCGGGCTGCCAGATTCAAGCGTGTGGATGGCAGCCTGCTTCCTGATGTCCCAAATCGCGACACTGGACGAGTTTTCCTGTACGACGGCGAACCAAGTTCCGTTTTCAGAAAACTTGAGATCGACGACGGGAGCCGAAGTTGCGAGTTCGGCCATTTGTGTGCCAGTCTTGATGTCGTAGATGCGGATGTTGCCGTCGGAGCTTCCGATGAAGAAAAGCATGCCGTCTACGTGGAACGAGACGCATGTGATCTCGGCTTCGACGTAGACTTGCGAGACCGTCTTGAAGGTTGTAAGTTCGTGGATGGCGTATCGCTTGTCGGCGCCGGCGGTTGCGAGCATCTTGCCGCTGGGATGTACGGACATGGACGTGACAGCTCCGGCGTGAGAAGCTATTTGCGCAACGTCATCCCCGTTGGAGAACACCTTGACTGTGCCTGCCGATGTTCCAACAAGCGCGCGCTCTCCCCACCATGCCACCGATGTGACTGCGCTGCCTGCATTGAATGTCTCCAGGACCTTGCCCTGGGTCAGTGAGTAGACGCCCGTGGTGCCATCCGCTCCACCGAACAGCACATTCTGTGCCTCGTTGACCGCAATCTTGGTGCTGCCTGGGTATAGAGATTCGGTCGTCTTGGCAACGTCGTAGTTGGAAATGGCGTCCCCAGAGGTCCAGTCTGCCGGCGCAGGTCGCTTTCGTCGGGTGCCGAAGAGTCTGTGTATGTTAGCTCATGTTGATGGCGTCATTCGACTGCAAGGGAACTCACTCTTGCTGTGTCTCTTCCACAAGAGCTACAAGCTGCTGAGGCAGGCCCTGGCCGTCCACCTGCATGGCATCGCCCTGGCCGCCTCCACTGATGGTGACGTTGGACAATGCCTCGCGCGCCTCGTCTCTCTCCTTGGATATCCGCGCGATGACCCTCGTCGCCGCATCGTTCTGGTACAGCGCAGTACTCAGCTCCTGCCTCGTTTGCGCCAAGTGCTGCTTGAGCGTATGCGTCTCCAGAACCAGCGCATCCCACTCGTTCTGGAAGGCGCTGAGCATGGCCGGTATCGAGGTGAAGTTGGGCGCGCGCGGAGTGACGACATTGGGCGACTTGAGCTCGATGAGGTCCTCCGTCGCGAGATCCTCGCCAGTAACGGGGTCGGTGTGGTGTTCTGAGATGTGGGCTTCGATGAGGCGCTTTTCGAAGACGTTGCCCGATTTGCGCGAGGCAACGGGTTCGCGGGGAGCTTCGCCAGAGATTGCGCAGAGCATGGTTGCGGGATTAGCGTGTTGGTGGTTGATGCTGTCGCGTTCGTTAACTTTTCGGTCTTGGGATTGAAGCGCGCTAGTAGTTTGGACCGTGCGCGTCCACGTCCAAGATGCTCCACGAGGGACTAGGTAGAAGCTCTCTTTCCCATCATCGAGAGTCTTCGTTCTGTGAAGGCTAGCATGTTGCGTCTTGTCTTATGTCTGTGGTTCTACTTGCTCAAAGCCAACCACTTAGCAGCCGTCAGTGCATGTGCTAACCCAGGCTTTTCGTTTATTTGTGCCGACAGGCATGATTCTGGAAGCCATAGCTGTTCGACTGTCCAAGTCACATTACTTGCCCCGAAGATTTGACGTCTCGGTCCGGCCACTCGTTCCATGCCACCAAACTCTAGTTTTCGCATCTCCAGCCGTCCTCTTGGCGAGCGGAGGCACGAGGGCGCGTCGGCATGCGAAGTCGGACCGGCATCTCCCACTCCCGACATTCAACGAATCAACGCCCACGCGCTTGCATCGCGCTTCGCATCCGAGTAAACAAACTGGATCATTTACCCCAGACTTTTTCGCCTCTCACCATTTTCAGCCCCAAACCGGAAGGTCTCCGGGAAATCAAGCAATTATAGTGTCCCCCTGCGGAACCAATGACCCCGCCTCGCTCCATCTATGGCTCTCGCATCGTTGCCAAGCCATGCAAGAGCGACCTCCTCTATGACGGTACTGCGGGGGAGCGCGTCTTGGGTGCATATCCGCCTACTCTAGTTATGTAAACGGTAAGTCCGAACCGAGATCACGATGCATGCCTTGTTGTTGTAGTGCCACAGACTAGCGTACACGGGCTGCATAGGTTTGTGTATAAGAAGGACATCGCTCCCTCGACGGATCAGCATCCTACCAAGGTCCTGCTCTTTTCAATTCCATCAGGCACCATGATCACCAAAGGACTTTTAGCTCTTGGAACAGCGGTACCCGCACTTGCGGGTTCGCTTGTTCAACGACAGAGCTCGTCGCTTGAGGGATGCCCCGGATATACCGCCAGCAATCTCCAAGATGATGGCTCCAGGGTCACCGCAGACCTCAGCCTTGCAGGCGCCGCTTGCAATGTTTATGGCGAGGACTTGACTGACCTGAAGTTGGAAGTCGAGTATCAGACTGGTACGTTGCGTTGGCTTCGCTATTCATCGGCTCTATGCTAACAGTCCACAGCCGACCGACTCCATGTCAAGATCTTCGACGCCGCCGAACAGGTCTTCCAGATCCAAGAGTCTGTCTGGCCGCGTCCTTCCGGCAGTGAGGGTGTCAGCCCGGAAGACTCTGCTCTGGCATTCACCTGGACCGACAGCCCTTTCTCGTTCGCCATCACGCGTAGGGAGACCAACGAGACCCTCTTCGACACGTCGGCTGCATCTCTTGTCTTTGAGTCACAGTTCCTCCGTCTGAGGACCGCTCTGCCTCCTTCTCCAAACCTATACGGTCTTGGTGAATCGACAGATCCGTTCCACCTAAACACCACCAACTACACCCGTACTCTCTGGAACCGAGATGCCTACGGCACCCCAGAAGGGTCCAACCTTTACGGAGCTCACCCAATTTACTTCGATCACCGCGGTGAGAACGGAACCCATGGTGTCTTCTTGGCCAGCTCCGAGGGCATGGACATCAAGATCGACGACTCCGAGGGTCAGTACCTCGAGTACAACACCCTTGGTGGTATCCTTGATTTCTACTTCCTTGCTGGTCCTGGACCAAAGGAAGTCGCAACCCAGTACTCCGCTCTTTCCGGCCTTCCTGCCATGATGCCGTACTGGGGTTTTGGTTCCCACCAGTGCAAGTACGGTTACCGTGATGTCTGGCAAGTTGCCGAGGTTGTTGCCAACTACTCTGCTGCGGACATACCTCTAGAGGTGAGTTCTGAACTGCCGAATCGCCATTTTATATTTTTGCTGACATTATCTAGACCATGTGGACGGATATTGACTACATGGAGCTCCGCCGCCTGTTCACCCTGGATCCAGAGCGTTACCCGCTTGACCTTGTCCGCCAACTCGTTGATTACATCCACGCTCACCAGCAGCACTACATCATGATGGTCAACTCCGCTGTCTGGAGTGGTGACTACGACGGCTACAACAACGGAGCTGCGCTTGACGTGTTTCAAAAGCGTCCTAACGGCTCTTTCTTTGAGGGTGCTGTCTGGCCAGGTCCCACGGTATTCCCTGACTGGTTCCACCCCAACACACAGCAGTACTGGGACGAGCAGTTCGCTTCGTTCTTCGACCCGGCAACTGGTGTTGACATCGATGGCCTCTGGAACGACATGAACGAGCCTGCAAACTTCTGCCCGTACCCTTGCCTCGACCCCGAGGCCTATTCTGAGGAGTCCAAGAACCCTCCCAAGCCACCACCAGTCCGCACCTCCGCTGACGGTCGCCAGATCCCTGGCTTCCCAGCAGACTTCCAGCCTCAATCCAACTCTAGCGCGGTTCGCCGATCAAGCGCTCAGCTCAAGAAGCTTTCCAACGTCAAGCGTCAAGCTTCCAACAACACTGCTGACCTTGCTGCACACCCCGGTCTTCCTGGCCGCGACTTGATCAACCCGGAGTACCAGATTGCGAACGCCGCTGGATCTATCAGCAACAAGACGCTCGATACTGATATCCAGAACTACGACGGAACGTACCACTACGACACCCACAACTTCTGGGGTTCGATGATGTCGATTGCTTCGCACAAGAGTATGCTTATGCGCCGTCCCGAGCGCCGTCCATTGATCATCACCCGCTCTACTGTAAGTTCTCAGCATATCACCAGACGCTATGTAGCTAACAAGAGATCCAGTTCGTCGGTCTTGGCACATACCTAGGAAAATGGCTCGGCGACAACGTCTCGGAATGGGCGCAATACCGCTTTTCAATCGCCGGCATCTTAAACTTCAACTCCATCTACCAGATTCCCATGGTCGGCCCCGATATCTGCGGTTTTGCCGGTAACACCACGGAAACCCTCTGTGCACGTTGGGCAACACTTGGTGCCTTCTACCCCTTCATGCGAAACCACGCTGGCGACACGTCAATTGACCAAGAATACTACCGCTGGCCATTAACCACAGCCGCAGCCAGGAATGCTATTGCAGTACGCTACAGACTACTCGACTACTTCTACACTGCGTTCCACCGCCAGACCACCACGGGTGTACCCAGTCTGAACCCCCTGTGGTTCCACTACCCCTCTGACGCCAACACCTTCGCCATCGAGCACCAATTCTTCTACGGCGACGCCATTCTCGTCTCTCCTGTATTGGAAGAAAACTCGACCTCCGTGTCCATCTACCTGCCCAACGAAATCTTCTACGACTACTGGACCGGCGAGCGCATCCAAGGTCACGGCTCGATGATCAACCTCACAGACGTCGGTTTCGACACCATTCCCCTGCACATCCGCGGCGGATCCATCTTGCCTCTCCGCGCCGAATCCGCAAACACAACCACGGAGCTCAGGAAGAAGGATTTCGTACTGTGGATCGCGCCCAATGCGACGAATCAAGCTGAGGGATCGCTGTACCTCGATGATGGTGATAGCATTGAGCAGCCGGCCGTGTCCATGATCTCTTTTACGTACGACAATGGCGCATTCAGCATGAGCGGTGAGTTTGGATACCAGACTGAGGTTGTTGTGAAGAACATTACTGTGCTGGGTTGCGAGCAGAGTCTTCAGGGTCCTGTTGCGCTGGATGGAAAGTTTGAACATGTCTTTGGCGATTGCGCAGCTGGTTATTCGGGTAAGGCGCCGAGGAGGGGTTTGGCGTAGTGGTGTTGTTGTTGAATTGATGGGGTTGTGGGTTGACCATGTTTCCATTGCATGTAGTAAGGGAAGATGACATGGGAGCGCGATTAGCAGCCGCTTCCAGGAATTAATCCAAGTGAGATGCTAAAGACGATATGAGATTTCGAACAGAATTTTGTGACTACCGCAGGATTGAGAGGGGGTTTAGGCTGAGACTACCGTGAGTATGTGGAGGGGAGGGGGACATGAGACGAGAGTGAGCTGGAGCTGAAGTGGAAATCGAAAAAGGTGGGAGAGGAATAATCGTTCGGTAAAGGCCGAGCTCTCTAGGTGGGGAGAGAGATAACACTCTCGCGAGAACGTCTTTATATTGATGCATACATACTCTCGTCTATCCACGGACGAGGCGGACATGTCTTGACCACCCACTGCCGATGCAGCTTCCTCGTGCTCGCCACCTTGGCCCAAAAGTCGTCCCAGTATACCGTATACGCCGTTTTGTTATCACGCGATACATACAATTTATGGCTAGAGTTGCGCATATCCGTCATCCTATGGATGCAGAAGCGCAGGTTGGCGATATCAGCAACGACTTCCTTGCTCACATCTACCCATACAGTATTTGGCTGTTGTGCATTTGACTCTGGTGATGAGGGCGGTTGCTGCTGCTGAGTGAGGACGTGTTCGTCCAGAGTAATTACTTCGAATGCGCAACCAGCCCAAGGACCATGTATGAATTCTAGATACTTGTCCGGCGAGTGTGGGTCCTCTGAAATAGTAGTAGGAGTAGTAGTCGCAGATGGCGCTCTGTTACCACCGCTACAAGTGAGAACGAGAAAGATGTTGGCCAGGGTAAACTGCTCGTCCGTCTTTGGCTCCGCGTGTTTATTTTCCCTTTTCGGTTTGTAGAGCACGCGTTTTGTGAAGGTTTTCCCGACTCTTTTCATCCTATCGGATAACAGCTCATAGGATCTAGGGTCGTCCCCCCAGTCAGCTGCCGGATCAGAATCAGGCTCTTCTTCCAACTGATCCGAGCGCACGTATTGTCTGGTGGTCAGGTTGCGGAGCACCCATACTCTCCGCCTAGAATATGCACCTGGTTTGGGACGCAGCATCAGATCCTGCTTGATATTCTTCAGGTCGTCCGGTCTGTTCTTCAGGTCGTAAATCCACATCTTGAAGGCCTGCTGGTCTGAAGCTGAAGGACAGTCCTTCCAAACAGTAAGAGCTAGCCATCTTTCATCTTGATCATGCCATGTCCAGTCCCATTTCCAATCGTCAACTGAAGCAAGGGGCGTCTCGAACGTTTCTTCGATACCATAGTTCTGACACTGCTCGCTGGTGAATCTCGCCTTGACGTGGTGGAAACCAACCTTCCTGCCAACCCAATTCTCCCGATAGAGACGGTGAATACGGCTCAACACGAGCGGCCATATACGAGCGGAAGAAAGGCCTAGCGCGAGGAAGTTGAGAGAGAGCTCAGCGATGTGATCGAGGGTGGCTTGGGCGTTACGGATCTCGTCGACGTATTTCGGACTGGGATTGCGGCCCCAGTCGAGGTGTTTGAGTCCGCGACGGCGGTCGAAGCAGTCCAGTGGCAATACGTGATCGAGGATCTGATCAAGGATCTCGTTTGGAAGACGTTCGAAAAGGTCCCCACCAGGAGGATAGAAGTGTTGAACACGCTGAGCATCCGACAAAGGCTTGACAAACGCGTGATAAAACCAGTCTTCGTTTTTTTCCTTAAAAAGTGAGGCCGTGTCGCAGTTGTAATCATCGCGCTGTCCAATATGAATGGCTTGATTGAGCTCCGGGCAGACAAGCTGGTACCAATCAGGAAACCCGTTATCCGGGTTACGGTCGAGACGGCCACTCATGGTCTGTAAAGTCTTTATGCAGTCCCAAGGGGATGAAGCCGTAGCTTGGGGGTTGGGGAAGTCATCTCGCGACTTGTCTGCCCCTTGTTCATGTGATGTCGCACCACAGCCTAGGCTATATCCAAACCGGAAACAGCAATGTGATGCAGTAGTAATCCAACACGCTTAGGCAGCTGCGCTGCCGTCCACGAATGGAAGCACGAAGAAAAGCGGGCCCTCGCTTGCCTGCTACCACGAATGGCTTGGTACGATCGTACAGCAATGTAATTAATCCGTCGAATAGGCATCGTCAAATGAGGTACGCGATTGCCTTGCCAAGTAAACACCGCACCGTTGAGTGTCATGGCTCGGTGTTTGTCTGCAGTGTCAACTTTTTGTCGCGCTTCGATTGGCAGCATATCCAAGAGCCGTAGAGGTTGTGATAGAGTGATTAGCCTAGGCTGCGTCGGGCTAGTGCAAGATAGATGCATAGCTACGAGGGATTGGACGAACCTCGGCATCTCAATTTGGTGAATAGCAATCGAACTTCACTAACTGTTTGTTGGATGATAGCGTGCGAATGCACTCACCACGCATAAAACACCATAGCTGAGTCAAGGGAACAGCGCCCAATTCACTTACTAAGCGCGCGGCATTGTATGAATGAACTAGATATTCACGACCGTGTTTGGGCAGCTGTGACTACTTTGCAATGACTGAATGAAATACGACGGGCGATTACATATACCTCTGCGTACCGTCAGCTAGCCATTCTTACACAAATACCTGCAGACTTGTGACCATCAAAGTTGTTATATACTCATTTACCTAGCCTATTCCTCGGCTATCCACCCACTTGGCCCATATCACAGCCTGAAGCTAGAACACACAACCACCGCGGCACCACGATGTCCACCAACATTGGCACCAACACAGTGCGACGTGGAAAGTCACCGCTCGAAGAATTTTTTCATCGGGCCAGCAACGCCGGCCTACACATAGAAGCGGAAGTAGAGATTTATCAAACGAGGGTTGACAGCAGCGGCAACTGGGAGGTCGTGAATGAATCGCACTACGTAGATGAACAGGACAAGGACGAGTGGGTTCTTGTCGGCAAGACAGAAGGCGAGAAGACGCAGGAGTGTAACGCGAAGCAGAGGGCGGACAAACGGGCAAAGCAGGTCATACAGCACTGAAGGATTGATAGTTGGACCGTTAGCAAAAGTGCCATGGAATCGAGATCAAGCAAAGACAGCTTGGAAGCAGGATTGGGTATCTTCATTCAGTAGCCACGCGCAACATGCACTCTCGCCTTTATATCAGCAATTCAATTGCCACCGACATCCATATCAGTCTCATAGTGTCCGCTCGCGGCACTCGTGCTATGCGCGTCGCGACGATGCTCCCGTGGTGTCCAGCGTGTAAGGTAGTGTGATGGCACCGAGTCCCGGCTCATTTCTTTCCCTTCTTCTTCTTCTTGCCTCCCGCGCCGCCCGTACCAGCCGCAGGTACACCACCCATCTTGACGTCCCCACCCTCGTCGACCTGCGGTGTAGACGCGCCTTCTCCGCCAGCCGGCATGCTCAAATCCTCCATCGTCTCCGGCAGCGCTGCCATGTGTCTCCCCAATCTCCCCAGATTGCCAATCAGCCGGCCGACCTCGGCGCCCTTGTTCGTCTCATACTGCAGACATGTGCCCGACTCTGGATCGTACGTCTTGAGCGTAAAGAAGACGGTGACTTCCTCGGGGTTCTGCGATTGCGGCGGCGGTGAAGACGCACGCGATGTGTCGGCGGGTCGGGCGGCTCTCTTCTCGTCGTACTTTTGGCGCTTCTTTATCTTGGAGGATGTGGGTTTTAGGACCGAGTATTTGGATGTGATGCGTGTCTAGGAGGCATGGGTTAGATGAGGCCGTGTCGCGTGCGTGCGGCAGGGTGGAGCTTGGCATACGGATGTTGGTCGCGCTTTGAGGAGGAGCGACGACTGCTCGTACCACTCTGCGCTCGTGTCGAAGTATGGCATCGTGGCGGGTGTGGGTGGGTGTCTGGGGTAATGGGAGAGTGAAGGTGACGATGAGGCATGGTCGGTGCCCTGTGGGTTCGGTAGGCGGGCAACTTTTGGCGGGGTCGCTCGGGAGAACATCGGTCCAGGCCAAAACCGTCACTCCCACCTAGGCACCGTACCGCGCGACAGGTACCCGGAAAAAGGGCTGAAGCAACTCCCGACCTATCAAGCAGCAGCATTCCTCGTTGTTCAATACTCCCTCGAACCTTCCACGGCCAAGGTAGTTGACTCACGGCTCAACCGTCTCATCTCAAAACTTCAGACTCAACTGCGATACCCTCCAAAACACGCCTTGGTCTACCTAACACATCAACCGCATCTGATACATTTGCCTCTCGAGAATGCGGGGGCCTACCTATTCGGACGCTGACCTGTTGGCTCTGAAGGAGTCTCCAATAGTCAAGAAGCCTGATGGACTGCCTTCAATCTCACAATGGATGGACGTGCCTGCCGACCAAAACACCAACAATGGCCACGCCAACAATGGCACCATGAATGACTCCGTTGCGCAAGACCTTGGCAACATGAAGCTAGAGGAAAAGACGGACTATGACAAGATGCCCACTCCTAGAGCTGAACTCGAAATTACCATTCAAGGACTAGTGGCACGTGGCAACCATCTCAACAACGAAGTGGAAACCTATATCGCCGCAGTTCTAGAGAAGCAAAAGGTTGGAAAAGTCTACAATCCAGTCGAGTACGTTCAGTCATCGTGCTATCCAAGATAGCCTGGATGATCCCCTGGTATTCACTCCACCAGTAAGCTTAGCCGCGATATCTACTACAAGAGTACCAAACCAACACGCTCGTTCACACCACTAACGACAACAGATACCGAAATCTCCGCAACGATATGCGCAATGAACTCGCCTTCCTGAAGAAACTCGCAGGCTCCAACATGGATGAAGAGAAGGCCCGTCACTACATCGTATCTTCTAACCTTCTTTACTACGAAGCCCTATGGGCCGCCGCAAAACGTACATCAGGGATCCAAAGTTTCCGAAAATACTTCTTCTGGAACCGACACAAAGCTCCCGGTGGTAAAAACACAACAAAAGGCGTCAGCCTAGCCAAAGGAAGCCAAGGCAAGAGCAAAACTTCTGCACTTGTCGACATCGTCGCGGAAGAAGGCGCAGAATGGATACGAGTATCAACCGTCTCCGAGAAACGTATCCTATTCGATCTCGCAAAGCTGGGCTGGGTGAACGACTCCGACTCGGACGAAGACGAGGACATGCCGCCGCCCCCTGAAGACGACGATGACGACGAAGACCAGATCGACGTGGTGCGAAATGCTCGCGAGCTTGCGCGAGCTGCGCGCGCAAATCCCGTGCGTGGTCGGCCACCCAAGGTGCATTTCGTCCTCACACGAATCTCTGCTGGTAAGACACCAGCTATCGATATGACCATCAACAAGATACGCGCGACGGGTGCGATAGTACAGTGCGGAGAAGACATACCGCCCGCGCTGTCGATAGACGCCGTGCTACCACGGCTGCTCATCGATCGATCGCGAGCGCTGAGCGATACCCTGAATATCGACTGCACCATTCTACTAGCGCTCATCTCGGATATCTCGCACAAGCCTTGCCCGATACTCGACTGGTATCCGGGAGAGGTGCGCGCTCAGATTGAAGAGGAGGCTGTGGAGCACTTGTTGCCAACACGTCTGTATCCTGCTATTGGCGCGCATCCCATGGTGTGCACGCGCGAAGCTGCCGACCAGATGAATCTTATCGTGCAGACTCTGGCGACTGATACGGAGAAGCTGAGAGCGGATATACTGCTAGGACAAGGCGACTGCGCCTCGTGGTCGCGAGAACGGCTTGTGGAAGAATGGGTGGGTATATCCGAGCTTTATGATTATACCATTGTTAACCCTGATACTAACACGTTATCAGTCTAACCTCTCCGACTATCCTCCACACCCACATCTGGCCCTCCCCATCGTTATCAAGACCCCCAACATCGACACCCTCATCGCCAGTCTCCCCAGCGTAGCAGCCACCGTCGCTGCTGAACTCGAAAGTCCCTCTGGTCTTCTCAACCAATCCATCTTCCTTTACGGCTGGGCTGAGGGCCTCACGACGCTGAGCGCGAACCGTGGTCGAGCGAAACAGATTGATAATATTATTAATGAGCATGGATTGAAGGATGGAGAGGCAGGTCCGCATATTTGGCTCTGTGGTGAGTCGAGGAGTTTGATTGCTAAGCATGGGCGGAGGAAGTAGGTGGGATGATCATCCTGCTCTCTGCTACTGGCTTCTCAGAAATGATCATACTTGTTCTCCAGGTCTGTCAACTTCATCTCTTGTCCCTGTTCGTAGTCTATGAATAACACATTCTCCTTCCCGCAAGGCCAGGTGTAGTCCTGCGCAGCCCATTGCCATTCCTCAAATTCGCTGCCTTCGCAAAGCACCACATGGATTTCCGACACGTTTTTGTAGTGGCAAAGCTCGTCGGGTTCATCTCCACGGGCCCAATACTCATCGGTATTGTCGCGCGTAAATCTCAGGCGTTTGATAAGGTGCGCAACAGGCCTGAAGGCTTCGAATTGGCTCCAGCCGATGGAAACCATGTCGATATCCAGGTTCAACCACACGTAGCGCGGTTCTGCGTCTTCCGCAGCGCCGCCGCGCCAAGGCATATCTGAGAAACAACGCTGGTATAGTCCAGCGTTCCGCGATTCTCGACATGTCTGCAGCGGTGCTGGTACAGGTGTAGGCGAAGTCAACTTGTTGAACGTCTTCTCACCCCATTTCCCCCGGACCCTGAGGCGCACTTCAACTATACGAGGCTCCACTGTCATTTGCCATATCTGAGCACGGAGTTCGGCCGGCAGTCGTGGGAATGGGTGGAATGTGGCCATGTTAGAATGTGTGAAGAGTTCGAGGTATGTGTGGATCGGTTCTGACAACGCGATCGAGATCGTGGATGCACGCTCGAAGGTTAGGGACTGTTTCAAAGATGTGCTCGACTGCGAGGATCAGGATGTAGGTGAGGGTACTGGGAGTGACGGAAAGTTGGGAGACAGTGAACTGGGGGGTTAGACGGTTATACCCGGGCGGAGGCTGAACGCCAAGGCGGGAAAAATGTGGGCAGGAGTCATGAAGATTTCCATGTTCATTTTCATAGGCACATGACCGAAGGCACAAAAAATGGGAGAGGTTGCGTTGCATTGATCGAATCTTGCAAAAGATCTCAAAATGGAGACGCGGGTTGCCAATGATTTTGCTAATGCATTGAAAAGATACCGAGGTCTTTGTTCCATTCTTTCGTCGCTACGTGTTGTCAAGATAAGGAGTAATAATACAGCGATCGATGGTGTAAACTGGCTCGACAATCTTCCCCTTCTTCGTCGACGTTATTTAGCATCTCTCCACAGCAATAGAATAGTTTCCAGCCCCATTTCTTTCTGTCCCATACTTCGGCCTCACGATCATATTTGTACTCCAGGTCCATCATCCGCATCTCTTCGCCCTCCTTCTCGTCTATGAACAAGACGTTGTCACAAGGCCAGGGATCCTCATAGGAAGTCCCATGCCAGCTCGCAAAATCGTCCGATTCGTCGAGCACCACGTGAATCTCCGACACATTTTTGAACCAGCGAAGGGCGTCACAACCAGGGCCAGGGCCAGCCGGACGCCTCCAAAATTCATCCATGTTGCGCCAAAATTTCAGTCGTTTGATGAGATGTGCAATACTCTCGAAATCTTCAAACAACCAACCGTCGATGTAAATCATGTCGATATCCAGATTGCACCAGACATAGCTGTATTGCCCTTCCCACACATATCCGTCACGGCGGTACTTTTTCTGCGCGTTCTTCCTGTTGCTGTTAAGGACACAGAGCTCAGTGAAACAACGCTGGTATAATCCAGCGTTCCGCGACTCCCGGCAGGTCTGAAGTGGCGCTGGTATGGGCGTCTTTGAATATAAGGCTGTGGTCTGCCAAAGCTCTCCTTCATATCTGCTTTTGAAACCAACCTTGACGGTGCGAGGCTCCACAGTCAGCTCCCATACCCGAAGACGAAGTTCTGCAGGGAGTCGTGGAAAAAGATGGAATGTAGCCATGCCGTAGCAAAGAATGCGGACGACGGTGATGTTGCGTGGATAACTTGGTGTGTGTACAGATTCGAGCGACAACTATACGTAATGAAGCATCGAAACGAGTGATTTGTACCTGCATGCGAACAAAAATTAATGCAGGAACCCGGATGGTTGCCAAGAATCAGGGAGTCATATGATTAGCCTATGTTCGTATCCACCTTCCGTTTCCGGAAGCGTCCCGGATCCTTCGTGGTGACACGTTGGGATTTGCGATATGAGGAGATCCGGATAGCGCCTGTGCGGAACTAGAAACGGAAGCTGCGATTCCTTCGCAGTATGCGAACCGTCTTTACCCGCATATCCCAGGCCTCGGATCTCACGATGCGCAATGAGCATGCGGCGCAGGCGGCGCAGTAGGCCCAGACCTGGATCTATCAAACTCAGCTCCATTACTGGTATGAGGACCTAATATCGCGTTGCTCATTCGAATGATGTACTCGAAGAGGTCCAAAAAGTCTTGTCGGTAGCATACACTCGATCGCTCCTCGCCCGCACTGCTCCTTGCTGTGGTACTACACAAACCTCTTTCACGATCTCGACTATCGGTCGCACTACCCTGCATCGTTGCGATACCGTCTAACATGAAGCTCACAGCCTTCATCGTTCTGGCGGAGCTCGTTCGCCTGGTCGTTTCCGAACGCCGACCAAACCTGCAGTGGGATCCAGAGACCGCCAAAGACTGTGTCGAATGGTTCGATGGTGGTTGGGATTTGTCGTGTGAAGAGACGCGCAAGATGTTCGGCATTAGTCCTGAGCTATTTCATAAATGGAACCCTTCGGTTGGCCTTGACTGTAAGCCTTGGAACTTCCAATCATATTGCGTTCTCACGCAGGAGAGGGTCGATACCGAGCCACCGAAATGGACTTCAACAATCTCTACAACTACGACCACGGCAACCTCATCTACAGTCACTCCTTCTCCTACTTCTTGGACCGACATAGGGTGCTATGTGGAAGATCCGACATTCCCACTTCTCGACCAAAATATGAGCCCTAATGGAGACGCATCCTTGACCATCCCTGATTGCAAAGACACCTGCTATCGCGATACCTACAGATTCGCGGGTGTACAGGAAGGCAATCAATGCTGGTGTGGCACTTACGTCATCGGGCAATGGGCGAAGAATCAGACCGACTGTAACGTTCCCTGCACTGGAGACAAGACGACATATTGCGGTGGAAAGGGATTATTGAAGATATTTCAAGAAGCAGGTTGGAAAGAGGAGGCTACACGAACGGTTGTCTCAGGAAGCAGCATTACAAGCACCAACACCGCCAGTACTAGCAGTACGACAAGTGCCAACGTTGCCAGTGCTAGCAGTACCACAAGTGTCAGCGTCGCGAGTAGTAGCCACACTTCTGGAGCCAACAAAAACGTGGTCATGTTTCGCGCGGTTCTGGCATTCTTTTCAAGGTGTCGATAGTATTGCTGAAGTTGTAGACTGCTTGTGCGCGTAGCGAGCCAGCTCGCGTAACGAGCCACCGAGGGCGTGATGGTACGAGTGCGAGTGCGACACCGAGAACGAAGCTCTCGTATGGCGTCGTATGCACGGCCCCGGATCCGTGCACTTTCCGATATACGACTAGTACCCCAGACTTGACGTCGCCTCGCGCTGTCCTATGCAATTAGAAAAGATCTTATTGGCCAAATGTGTCTGTGAAACAAATAATTCTGGGACCGTTGGATTAAGCATATCTGGGATCGACACCGGAAGTGCGGCTGCAAGCCCTTTCCGCCTTGCATCGCCTGGGATACGGGTGCTTTGTAAATGATCATCTGGTATTCGTTGCGAAGCTGGTGCTGTAACCTAGCAACTACTGTTACGCGTATGTCGTAAGGATACGTGTGGATACTTATTGTTACTTTTGGAGCCACAAGTCGTCTACGTAACAGGCTTCGAGAAGATATAAGGGATGGCACCGCTCTCATCAGTCGTACTTCAACCACAGCTTCCACTGCAACCCAACTCATCTACAAAGCACCATTTCACGAACACCGCCATCGGTAACCTCATGATGAAGCTCACTGCTGTTCTTGCCGCCTGCACTTCCGCGCTCGCTTCTGCGAGGCCCCAGTATGGTGCCGCAACTCCAGATCCACACGCTTGGATGCCTGCCTCCACAAACGACTGTAAGTGTACACACCAAAAAGACCATGCTATGGTTCAGAGCTGATACGCGCAGTCCGCGGCCCATGCCCGATGCTCAACACTCTAGCAAATCACGGTTTCCTTCCTCGCGATGGCCGCAACTTCACCAAGGAGAACGTCGTTAAGGGCCTGAAGGACGGCTTGAACTTTAATGGTTCACTTGGCGCACTCATGTGGCAGCAAGCCATCATCGCAAACCCTGAACCAAACGCTACGTTCTTCACTCTAGAGCAGCTCAACGTCCACAATGTTCTTGAGCACGATGCCAGTCTTACCCGTACTGATGCTGCCTTCGGTAACAACCATGTCTTCAATGAGACTGTATACAACACATCAAGAAAGTGGTGGACAGATGAGACCGTAACACCTGAAATGCTGGCCAACTCCAAGATATTTCGCCAGTTGGAGAGCCGTGCAACCAACCCAAACTACACCTTTACTGCTTCCACCGAGGAGTTTAGTTTGGGTGAAGTCTCGGCACCTATCATTGCCTTTGGCAGATTAGAAGACGGTACCGTCAACCGCACGTTGATGGAGTACTTCTTCGGTAAGTTCTTTGGCAACGCGCAATCGTGTGCGAGGAGCGGTGGTGCAGTAACTGACAACTGGGCAGAGAACGAGCGTCTTCCTTTTGAGTTGGGCTGGACTCAGAAGACGGACGAGATCACCCTCATGAAGATCATGGCTACTACAGACATCATTCGCAACGCGACGAGTCTACTTACTGGTGGCGAAACCGCTGAGGATTCTCCTCATGGCAAACGCGATCTCCATGGTGGAATGTTCTAGAGGACCGCCACGGCCAGATCTGGTTCAACCGGCCACCATGAAGTGTTGTGCACAAGATCCCATAAGACACACGTGTTGCCTTGGTCTTGCACTGACAGCAGATAGTTATACATCATCTCACTATCGTAATCTCTTTGGAGAGAATCGTTTTGTCTCCGTTGCGTCCATTGGAGTTGTGATCAATCATCCGGTGGGATTCCAAGCATTTTACCCCATACACATAGCGCCAACAGGGAGCGCGTCACAGAAGCAGCCCAATAGTTGCCAGTCACGATGAATGATCGCATTCCTAGTCGTGTACCAGCCACAAGCCGAAGGAAATGCGCCCACTGCACGAACTGAACAGTGACCTGGTCAGCAATACCTGCGCGCTCACTGTGCATATGGTCCGTACTTAACTGCGGAGCCGCCGCACGAAACGTACATAAATGGACACAGGTCGGAGGCAACTGGTCTTCAATAGTATTTTAATGCCTTGCTTGTCTTGTTCATGACCACGGTACAGCCTGTAGAACCATCAACTCCAAGTTCGTCATTCTCGTCGATGAGCGATGCTATGTACTGGATGTCGACGACAAATGTTGACTACAAGCGATGTACAACGAGGTCTACGCGGCATGCAGGATATGGTAGACGACGTTCACAGGTAAGAAGATTAGGCTCAGCCGTAGTGTGTCAGCCCAATGGTTCCCTCTTCACCAGAGTCACGCAGAGGGCATCGTGCATACTCGACTGGTGATGCGCTGATGAAGCCTATATCGATATTATCTTTCCAGGCATCGGACAGTGTTTTATCGTACTCGTGTGCTTGCTCAAGCAACGCGCCACCAACATAGAGCCGTAACCACCCACACACAGCGCCGCGCCAGCAAATGTCATCCACTCTCGCAATCCATGATACTCCGGTGTTCGCCATGGGCGGCTCAAATGTGCTTGCGTACCCATTTGAGTCATCTGAGGCACTTCCGAAGCAGGTCGTGCTATCGCCGGCCAACGTCCGATATGACTGGGAGCCCCAAGGCCCCCATACCTGGCTAATCGTTCATCGTCCTTACCCATTGTCACCGAATGACAGCGTACTATCGCGCATCGATGCGATGCTTGCTCACGTACTGTGCAGAATCCTGGGCGCATATTCATTGCGCAAGCTGTGGTGTGAAACGATGACGGGGGTGGAGACAGCAGAAAAGAAGACGAACATGAAGCGCATGGCTTTTGATTGGTGGCCTTTGAGCTTTAATCAAATCGCGGCATGGAAGAAGATAGGTGGAACGTCCGAAGAAGAGGGCGAACCAGCAGAGGAACTCATCGTCTGACCCTGGATACACCGAACCAGACCCTGACTAGGAATTTGCTCTGGAAAAGCTAGGTTGTGTTCGTGGAAACCTAGGTAGGCGTCATGGATGGACGCTGTCCAACAGCCGAACTTGGCGCATTTCGGCCCGCCGCGGTTGCCGCCAGTCAGCCTCCCCATTACTGGACACCACACCTCAACTTGACCCGACCACTGCGCATACAACCACTTGTTCACCACTTGATATTGCGCGACATCGGCACAGATGCTGATTGTACGTACCATGGATCGTAAGTCAAAAGTCTAGACCCTCGGTCGGTATTGTTCCGGTGCGGCCTTCTAAGTCATGGGAAACGAGTTGTCCATAGTAAAAACCTCCGCTCGCTTGGCGACGTTTTGAAACCGCATCCGTGCAGTCCATCAATCATGCCCACTATCATGCACACTACACGTGCGACATGAATAATTACCGCAGGCGAGGTGTGGGGTACAGGCGGTCTTACTCGTTCAGGAAGTAGGCGTCGCCTCTTCTAGCCTGGCGCTTGTGTACAGGGCGAAGAGTCGGAAATTTCAGGCATTGGTGGAGCTTCGACAACAGCGCTTTCTCATCTATTATATCTTGGCAACTGACACGAGAAGTACATTGTTCATGACTGGTGACGGAATGCTTGATGCGAAATGTCATAACGAAAGAGGCGGTCGTGGTGGGAGTATATATGGTACCTGGTACCTGTAGTTGTGGAGAGACAGTTTATCTTTGACCTACAAGATCGCATCAACACCCATCTCCACCATCAAGGTTATATTTACTATGCGCTCTCTTACATTTGCTGCTGCAGTTGCAGCTCTGTCTACTGCCAACGCGAAAGACATCTACGTGTCGCCAACAGGCACGGGAACGGGAACTTCTACCGCCCCCTTCGGCTCGATTCAATCTGCTGTCAACGCTGCCGTGGCTGGTGATGTGATTCTCCTTCGCGCAGGTACATACAAACCGACCACCAACATCCAGATCACCAAGAGCGGCACTAGGACTCAGCCTATCACTCTCCGTTCTTTCGAGAAGGAGAAGGTCATCATCGATGGTGAGGGGATGCCTGGAACGCCATACGCCTTGGACGCATCTCTACCGAACAAGGAGCGCGGTGCTTTCCATATCGAAAAGGCGAATTACTGGAAGTTTTACGACTTGGAGTAAGTAGAGCCGGCTGCCTTGGTCATCACCGTCACGCATACTGACCTATGTCCAGAATCATCAACGGCCCCTACGGTGTGTACGCCCGCGACGCCTCGCACAACCACTACGAGCTTTTGATCACTCACGACAACTACGAGACTGGCTTCCAGCTTCAGGGCGCATCGTCGAACAACACTGTCCTGTACCTCGACTCCTATCGCAACCGTGACCCGCGCAAGAACGGCGAGTCAGCCGACGGATTCGCATGCAAGGAAGGCTCAGGTGAGGGCAATGTCCTGCGCAATGCGCGCCTATGGGATAACGTTGATGACGGGCTCGACCTCTTCATGTTCGGATCACCCGTGACACTGGAAGAGGTATATGCATGGGGTAACGGCTTCAACCGCTGGGGCTTCAGTTCTTTCGAGGGCGACGGCAACGGTTTCAAGCTCGGTATTACCGATAACCCGCCTGCCAACCACATCGTGCGCAACTCCATGGCTTTTGCAAATGCGAAGAAGGGCTTCATCGATAATGGAAACCCGGGTAGCTTGACTTTCGAGCGCAACACCGCGTGGAACAACGGTGACGTGGGCTTCAATCTGAGGAGCTCCAGCTCGACCATGAACAACAACATCGCTGTGGCAAATGTGGGTAGTTCGCAGGTCAGCTTGACCGCGTCGGGAATCAAGGCTACAGGTAACTCGTGGCAGTCGGGTAGCTGGTCTAACTCGAGTTTCACAAGTGTTGACCCATCTACGCTGAAGAAGGCGCGTGGTGCTGATGGCAGGGTGCCTGCGAGCGACTTCTTGCTACCGAAGAATGGTGCTGCTATTGGTGCGACTACGCGAACCGACGTTTGATTTGACTCTGCAGTGGAGGTGGTTGGACGCCTTACTGTCTTCTCTTCTTGTAAATATTCCATCGCACACGCCTGTAAATATCGTAGTGTCTTACTCGTTGCATAACTTTTCTGCTAAGAGCCTTTGACATTGTGTACTTATTATTAATGACTTGGAGCGATGATTTTCGACATTGAAGTGACTGTTTCAGTAGCAAGTCTTCCCTGCTCTCCAAGACTGTTGCCATTGGGCGATTTCTTGGTAGTTGTGATATACTTCATTGATGGGTACCTTAGCGTACGTGCAAGGCATGTGTCACGGAGGTTATGACTGGCTCGTCCAGAATGGATCGTCGCTGTAGTTTCTAGGGTAGTACTGCTAACATTGCGGCTCCGCGAGTACCTTACATGGGAGCGTTTGACAAAGAAGGGGCACGCTCTCCCTGCATTCTTGTACAAGAAACGGACCGATATGGCTACGACCACTTAAGGACTTACCTGTGATTGAAGAATCAGACTGACAAAACCTGCATCAGATTTCCGCTCGGATCGATGATCCCGCCACGGCCACCTTTCCCAATTCTCTGTGCACCCTGTGCGATCTACCATCATGAGGCTTCTTGGATGGAAGATTGTTGAGGTCTTCAGGCACCTTCGGCCCGAAGGCTTGGCCAGCAGCCCCAGCTGAACCTGCATCGGCTCTCCTTCGGCGCTGAGTCTGCATCGAGGCGAATGTCGCGTCTATGCGTTCCCATCTCCGAATCGATACATGCAGATGCTTGAGTATACGTTCGCTCACATGTTCGTCAAAAGAATGATGTGGTGACAACAACTCCTTCACTCTGTCTAGTGATCACTTGATTGTCGTCGGTCCACGTGCAGTCGAACCTATATGTGCCGGCGGATCCGTTTTCAGTCTCTTTTGAGGCGATGGAGGTGTAGATCTTGACACAGAAGTCGCAGTCGTAACAGCACTACTGTAGTCTTCGTGTGCGCTAGCGTCCATCTCAAGGAGGCAGGGGTTGGCGAGAAAGCAAGGAACACCAATCACAACGGGCATCTACGACACTGCAACAACCGAACAGAGCCCGACAGCAACCCCATCCCTACCACCGTCCCCACTGGCACGCAAAATTCCGATAATTAGCCAAGGTCTGGACGTCACGAGAGTGATGCGATGCGCACGCAATGCGCGCCGTTCGTAGGAACTAAGATTGCGGAACAGCGGCAGGTGGGCGAACCGCCGCTCGAAGCTAGTACTCCCCGTGCTCTATCGATGGGTACTTGCTTCCGCTTGCCGACTGTTACATTGGTCCACTTATCACGAGACGAACCGGATAATAACAGCTATAGCAGCGTTCTTACTCTACGAACAGTGATTCCAGCGCATAGCTCGTGAGACTTGAGTCCCACGACCCCGAGGCTACCCAGGTAGCGTTGAACAAGAGTCCTCATCTTCCATGGACAGAGATGCATAGATACGGTACCGCACAATCATACCCCGTCTCGGCTATCACGAGGTTCAATTGAGTGCTGTCGCAGTCGCAGCAGCAGCATCGCTCCAGAACGTGGGGTATTCGAGCGTAGCGATTGCGCTTCCCCGCAATTGCAGTCGCAACATAGTTCGCGCCACGACATGCAGGGATCAAATCGCCTTACCTACCGATCCCGCAGTCATCGAGCTAATCATTCTGCGCTAGCGGGAGCGGAGACAAAATGGTATCAGTCGACCGTCCTGCATCACTGATTCAGGGACGCGCTGAGCGGATCTGCTTTACTATGCCAGACAACCAAGGATGTGAGAACAGGCGAAGATGGGTCCATTCGGAGTACAACATCGTATACCGTCAAAGGACGGGAGCCCCTTTTGAACAAGGTGCAGACAACGCTACTGATGATACCTGGCAACGCTCGGATACGCACGTCGCGCGCGATGCGCCAGTCCTTCTATGAGCAATCCATCAATACGATCAAGTAGCCACGGCAAGCTTGTCGACAATCAGACCGATCAACAGGCTTAGTCGACTATCTAGGTTTGCAAGTTCCGACGTTCGGCTCGTGCAGAATACAAGTCGAAATCACGCCGCCTATCGGGCCGCTTGACTCTTGACAAGTCCGCTTACCCACTCGTCCGCCACATCTTCATACAATCATGACATCTCGTGAGATCAAGAAAGGCGTATAGTCGAGTTACCTTCTCCAACACTAAGTCTAGCAAGCTGAAGGAGGAGCGGAGTGACTGCTGTAAAAGCATTGGGAGATCAGAAGCGTAGCATACCAGCAAGGCTATTAAGGCGTCCCATGGCGCCAATGTCGCAAGGCCTGACCGCCTGTAGGCATGCCCAAGAACAAAGAGCGAGATACGACAGTAGTGTCACACCAGAACACCAAGAGTTGTATGATCAGCTCCGCGTGTCGCCTAAGTTACAAGGTGCCAGAGTCCTGGATCATGTTGTTGATGCGGCGGTCGGAACTTTTACATGGGATCGATGCTGCATCCCTGCCGGCATATCAAAGTTTAATCGCTGTAGGCACTCGCTTGTTCGAGCATGACCACTCATGTTCCAGATTGCATCCCAGCTGGTTGATTCAGGGCCTGTAACCTAAGAATGTCTCACGGCACTTCCACGGCTACCATCCCGGGCGGCACAAAACCCTCGATTCCGTGCAGTGCTAGCTCAAGTCATCTTCGAATGATTAACAAGTCCCCACCCCCTCGTTCCGCTTCTCCACTGCAATACAAGAGGTCGCTCCCCAACCGTCTCCCGGAGGATTATCCCCTGTCAGTTTATCTTGTCTTCCTTTACCAGCGAGCATTCTGCCATAGTACCCACGCCCTTTCCAGATCCTGTCGGCCGGTTCTGTCGTCGCAAAAGTCTTATATCGATTTTTCCCACTCCTAGACCACCTCCAATGCGAACTCGATAGCTACCTACGAACGCCGCAATGGGTTTCAAGCCGGACGCTGGCGTGATGTGCGCTATGACCATCACGTTCGGTGTCGCTACAATCCTCCTAATCTGTCGCATAATCTCTCGAAGGATGACAAATGTGGCGCTGTGGTTGGATGATTACTTTGCTATGGTTTCCTGGGTGGCGGCTGCTCTCTACTGTGGTTTTGCATTATACTGTAAGTTGTAATCTACCAAACTGCTTCAGAACTTTCCTTCGAGCCGCAAAGTACCAACATACTGATCTTCACTCGACAGGGGCGCTTGTAATGGGTCTCGGCCACGTGAAAGCAGACATTCCTCATCCCGCAGAAGAGGTTGACGAATACGCTCGATTTGGGCTTTTCATGGCCGAGTTCCTATATGCATGGTCGCTTGGAATGTCCAAGCTAGCTATTCTATGCTTCTATTGGCGCCTGTTCAGTGTCTCCAACATCCGACCAGGAATCTATATACTCGGCGCATGCACCATAATCTGGCTTACCATTCGGACCTTCATGACTATATTTCACTGCATACCAGTTCAAGCGTACTGGAACTTCAACATCAAAGACGCTGTGTGCACTATTGATCCCGGCAAGTTTATGTTCGGCACGACCCTGGTTCATCTTCTCCTTGAGATCTCAGTCTTGCTGCTGCCTGTGTTCCAGGTGGCCAGTCTCAGACTTCGCCCGGGTCAGAAATTTGCTGTTGTGGCCATGTTCATGTTCGGTATCTTGTACGTCCTTTTCCATATCTTGCTTTCTTCTTTGCTACGCTATCTTTGTACATCATTGACTAACTTGTTCTTGTAGTGTCTGTGCTGCGTCAATCGTAGTACTCATTGTGGCAATCAATCTGAACGCTAAGACGACAGAGATGTCAAGGGATGTCAAAGGCGTCATAATCTGGGCAGGCACGGAATCATACTTGGCTATCATCTCTTGTGAGTATTTCCGCAATCCCAAATGGCCAGCGTTTTGAGTACCGATGCTGACTTCTCCATCACAAGCATGTCTCCCCATAACAAGACCTGTCTTCCGCAAATTTCTGTCCGGCTCCATACTTGGCTCCAAGTCCCACTCAACTGGCCCGAACCCTCTCAGCGATTTCAGCGGCAAGGGCATCAAACTTCGGAACAGTCATCGCACGAAAGAGCTCGACGATAATAGTTCAGAGCGGCAACTTGCTCAACACGAGGATGGGTCGTCTGGCCGTGGTGATATGTACTATGAATCTTATGCGGAGCGCGGAGGATACAACAAAACTGTTGTTAGTCGCGTGGACGAGGTACCTGACGGCAACGCTAACGCTCCGGGAACGTATGGCATTCAAGTCAGGAATGAGACTAATGTACGTTATGAATCCATTTGAATGAAAGAAAGGTTGAGGGCTTTTCAACTTGCTCTCGTCGAGTGATCTCTCTATACATCATCATCATCATATATAGCTTGTAATAAGACTTGCGGTTTCCTTTCTTCCCTCTATCACTCTATGAGCAGTTTTTGGTGGACGCTGTTGAGGACAACTCACTTAGTGATGGCCAAGAAGAGTTCGGCACTTATGTGTTCCGCTTAGTTCACGCAATAGGGAGTGCTAAGTCACCATTGAAGCAAAGAGAATGTTAAGGCAGCATGGAGTTTATATCTTGGAGAACTACGGAGTCGGTATACCATCATCGAGGATTGGGAATCCTTCATCGTTGAAGTATACTGACTGGCCAGTGCGGTAAGAATGCTGAAGAGCAGTACATATCTTTCCTGCCTCAAAAGCATCTTCTGCAAGGCAAGTCAAAGGCTTGTCAAAGAGAACCGCATTGGTAAACTCAGTGATATCTGTTTGAAATGTCTCGGGGAAAAGCTTGAAGGCATCAGGCACGGTCTGCTTGCGAACGCCATGCTTGTCCCGAATCTCGACGTTGCTGGCGGAACTGACGATGCTGTGCCCTTTTGTACCGCACACGCGTGTTGAGTCCTCAAACCCGTTTGTCGTTGTCCTAGCGAGATGCGTTGTCCAAACCTTACCATTGGTAAACTCAACGAAGCCCCAGGCATTATCAGCATCTCCGAACGCGGCAAGATCAGTGTATACAGCTCGTTGACCGATAGCTATAACTCGCTTGACTTGCTTCTTCGGGTTTGCGAGGTTGGACTTTACGTCCAAAAGATACCGTCCAGTATCGATCTGAAGGAGGTTTAGTAATGACCTCTCCAAATACAAGGAGGGCTTACGTGATGAATACCCATATCAAGGAAGATACCGCCGGAATGAGCAGCGAATGCAACGAAGTGACCTATGACTCTTAGCTTACGACATAAAGCGTCTGATCCATATGCGTTCGCTTACCAGCAGGATCTTGGACGTCGCTCATCCAGGTCTCAACCGCGTGAATCTCTCCAAGTTCGCCGCTCTCAATAAGGGCCTTAGCCTCACGATACGACTTATCATCTGAATCAGAGTAAGCTTTATCCTTTGCTTAATGGGAAATGCATCCGCTCATCGGGGCGGTAGACATACATCGGCGAGTAAACGGAACAAGGAATTTGAGATCTGGTCGAGATTGGGCCTTTTCTATCACAGTGGCGGTGGTGATAACGTCTACAGAGATGGGCTTCTCACACATGACGTGTAGTCCTAGGTCGAGTGCTTGAACGATTAGCGGAGCATGTGTAGCTGTAGCTGTGCAAATCAGGACGGCCTGTGCTCCGCTATGTTTAAGGCACTCTTCTGGGTTTGTGAAATGCTTGACTGATGACGGCAGGTTTTGCGCAGCCCACGCATCGGTTCCTGGCTTGGTATCGCAAACAGCAACCAACTCGACAAGAGGTTGCTCGTACGCTAGAATCCGGGCTCGGATGACACCCAGACGACCCAGGCCGAAAAGGGCGAATTTGAGACGAGGGATGACATCCATTATGATGATGTCTGCGGCTTTTATGGTATGAAGACGAAGATGAGAGATTTCGGGTCAAAGATATGTCAAAGAAGACGAGAAGGAAGGATACTTTGGACCTGCTCAAGAGGATGAGATCAAAAGGTGTCTCAAGTCGATTGTCTTCGAAAATTCACCCTAGTGACCAATTCGGCTGCGATTTAAGATGCTCTCTCTCTCGAACCCTATATATTCGGTGCGAGACTACCTAGGTGCCTAGTTCACTTAGCATTTCGGCGAATCGCTCCCCGTTCACAACCCAGTGCACGAATCGGCGGAGCATGTGCGACACAGTGGATAGCATCGGCTAGAGAGCTGTCCGATTCCGGGGCTGCGGTAGGGCACGATGCGGCTACAGCCCTGGGGTTTCTGGGGGCCCCACTACTGGTGTGGAGAGGCGCTATCCCCAACCTGGCTATTTTCGCCGACTGATGACCAAGATCTCCGAAGCAGGCGATTTCCCCCAGAAGCAACTTTACTCTCCGTCTTTCACCACCCTCCCCAAAACACCTCAATTCTAAGCGCTCACGTGCGCACCATGCCTCCGCAACGCCGGCCGAGAACCAGACCGTGCGAACAATGCAAGCGTTAGTGGAGACTTGGCAGGTTCTTATGATGCTCAATATGCTGACGATGACCACGTGGAAGTGAAACACCTAAAATGTACGTCGTGTATCGTAACCAGCATATCCCTTTTGATCGGTTTTCTCTGATTATGATCCTCTGGCTTGCTAGGCAATGGTGAATGTCCTTGCGCATGCTGCCAGAAAGCGGGTGTCGAGTGCAAACCTGGCAATCAATCTCTGCGTCTGAGAGTGTATACGCCACCGACGAAAAGGGCTGGACCCGAGACAGATCCTCTACCTCCACCAAACCATGCTCGTGAAGTCGTGTCCACGTTCGCTGTCCCTATGTTAGGTTCAGACTCTGTGCCACCTCTTGCGTACTGTTCGCCGCCCCACTCGGGCGGACGGCGTGATACGAACATGCTTCCACCTGTGGACACCAGTCCGATTCAAAATTCCTTTTCAGGGGACTCGCCGCTGTCCCAATCCCAATCGGCTGGCGGCAGAGAGCGGGATGCTCCTCCTAGGACTATGGCCCGAGACCGCCTACCATATGATGGAGGACAGACAGCTCTGCTTGACGAGGGTTCGGATGGTTTCGGACCATCTCCAAGCATGCCTAGCTATTCCGAAGATTCGGATCAGGGCGAGGTCATTGCGTCAGACCTAGGACCAATGTTGCTTCCATCCTGGAGTTTCCAGGACGCGCCTAACCCTCCTATGACGCCTGGTCCATTGGGTCCACAAGAAGCATGCCTTATTCGATGCTTCGCACAAGAGTTGGCAACAACAGTAAGTGGCGAAACTCATCAAGGAATTCTAGGTACATAATTTTGACTTTTGATGCTTAGTTTGATACGACAGATAGAACCGGCCATTTCGCTACGCATCTTCCTATGCGAGCTTTGAGAAACTCCCTAGTCCTCAATGCTATATGCGGGATTTCCGCTCAATATCTGCTACGAATGTCCACGGAGTCATCATCACCAGGGATGGTTAAGTTCCAAGGAACAAAGCTGCCACATCTTACCGAGGAGTCAGTGATGCAATACCAGAGCACATGCATTAATCTTCTTATCGATGCTTCTGCTAATCCAGAGGAACATGCAGATGGCGATATACTGTCAGCTATCACTATCCTTCGATTCCATGAACAAAATGATGGTGAGAGCATGACCCCTGCCCCCTCTTTCCGACTATCTTGCATCTGCATCTAGCAGTCGGCTTCGACTTTTCCAAGTTGGGAATCATGATCTAACAAAATTCTCCCAGTTTTGATGACCGGATCAGATTTCGAGGTCTTTCAAAGAGCGGTGCAACACAACTTCGAAACGCAGTTCGCACAAGGGCGTGGGTTGGGACAAGCTCTACCCAGCCTCTTCACCCCACTTCCCATCTTTCAACCAAACCATCTATCTGCGAATATCGCGGCATACCTAGTAGCTCTGCGGATGGAAATATGGGCAGTGCTGCTGTATCAGCGTCCCATAAGATTACCCCTCCCATCGTTCAAGGACTGCCGACATGTCCACGATGGCGAGATTGATGACGACTACTTGTGGACCAGGAGAGTCCTCGTATGGTGCGCGCACGTGCTAAAGCTGCATTTTGGTAGCGATGGGTTCGATGTGAGCGACGATGGTTACGCGAGCGCATCGGAGCTGTGGGGCGCGCTGAAGGCCTTCGAATTCGATTGGGATACGCGACCACCTTCCTGCTTCCAACCACTCTATTCCCGGCAGAACGCGCCGCAACAAGGACGCTATTTCCCCGAGTTGTGGTTGGCCAACCCATGTCAAGTCATGGCTCTCCAGCACATCGAGTTCGGGCGGATGATGCTAGCTAACCACGAGGCACAGCTCCAGAATCGGAGGCTAGGAGGCGGTGAGCTTGCATCCCAAGCTTCCGAGGCACTCTTCTTGCATTCCATGAGAACCATCTGCGGGCTCGCGGCATGCCACTCGGATCGACATGAGGCACTCACGGCCGCTGCTGTTGCGATTTCCATGTGCGGTAAATACGTGCGCGACGCCGGGGAGCGATCAGCTTTGATGTCAATCCTCCACAAGCTCAGAACTGACTTCGCTTGGAATATCAGTCATGCTGTGAACGCACTCAATGGTGGGGCTGGGGATGCGACTCAAGGTGACTTACGTACGTAGTGCGCATAAGCTGCATGAAGACGTCGATCACCTCGTGTCATGCTATGCCTTTGATGAGGCGGTCGAACTGTTTATCATAGTGACACGGCTTACGTGAAGATGGTGAGGCATGGTAAAGGAAACCTTCCAAGACAGAGTCGTATAACCTTAGCGAACAGTGGCTTTTATGTTTTCTTGTAGCAACCCTATCCTAGCCCATCTAGTGGGAACTTGCTGAGGGACCATACCAGTCATCAAAGCCGAGATCCCATCCCCACAACGGTGTGTTGATGCGCTTTGCCTTGCCTTTGGCAGCCAGATCATCCAGTAGCGCTATATCCTCATCAGACAACTCAATGACTGTCTTGTTGCTGATGATCCTCTTCTCATGTACAGACTTTGGCAAGACGACCACTCCCTTGTTAACATGGTAGCTGATCAGAATCGTAGCAGGGGACACATCGTATTTCTTTGCGACCGCCTGAATACTGTCGTCGGACATGATAGGTGCGCCTAAAGGAAGAGCCGAGGTTAGCAACAACTAAATAGATGTGTTCATCATGACATATCTTCCACTCACCTGCTGATCCGAGTGGAGAATATGCCTCTAGCAATATATCATGCTTTGCACAGTACTCCCGGAGCTTGTGCTGAGGCAGGAAAGGGTGTAGCTCCACCTGATTGACTGCGGGGACGACCTTCCAAGTCTTGCTCAGTTTCTCTAGGTAAGGAATCGACCAGTTGGCGACTCCAATGGCCTTGACTTTGCCAGATTTGTAAACCTCTTCCATCTGGCGCCAAGTCTCACTTTGGTCCCAGTCTCGGTCAACAGATCGTGTGCCATCCGGATTCACGGGGAGAAGCTCGCTAGATTCGTTCTGTGCCAGTGTTTCCGAGTTAGCTACTTGCTACATGGTCGACTGATCGAAGGGAGGCTCTGCACTTACAGGGACTAGGCGCACCGGCCAGTGGATGAGCTATCGGAGTATCAGATAATTGCTCCTGTGTGCATCCATCGAGATGAAGGATCGTTACGTACGTAAAGATCGAGATAGTCTGTGCCCAAGGCGTCTAATGACTTTTGTAGACCCTCTTTAACGTTGGGCTGGTGGGTGTTCCATAGCTTGCTCGTCAAGAATATCTCCTCACGAGGCACACCACTATCCTTGATACCTTGGCCAACCTCATTTTCATTACCTGAAGGAAGACGACATGTTAGCATTTGAATCATAGTTCACATATACCGCGATGGGCTGGTAGTTCCAGACGTACCATAAATCCTACGTAGCAATCAGTAAAAGCGATTTTCATCGTTGTTCGAGACGATAGGGACGTTACTACACCTACAAAGCTGCATCAATGTGACGGTATCCCTGCTTTAGGGCGAAAGATACTGCGTCGCGTACTTCGCCGGGCTCCGACCTCCAGGTACCTTCGCATACACAATTAGCTATTCCTTCTGTGTTCTTTCTTCGTTCCTAGGAATAAACCCACCCAGGCCAACAGCAGGAATGGTTGCTCCTGTGTTGAGCTTGAATTGAGAAGCTACAGGGGCCATTTTGGTCGTAGTCGTGCTTTACGGGTTGATGAATGTGCTCTTCGTCTGGCCTTTGATTCCTTGAAACCAACGAATCGTTTACACACTCAATGAGATGTGCGAATATAGAGTGTATATGAAGAATAACAAAGTGTAGCAACTCGACAGATTGGTTGGGCTCGGTATTCGTCTTATCCTTGTCACGTTTATGTAGTCGCAAGATGCCAACTTGAAGGAGGAGAACTTGGTAATGAACCTTATGTTCGCCGAAATTCCAGCATGCCATCTATGCCGGAACAATGGGCCCGAAAAGAATGCTCCGCCGAAGAAGACCTGCATTTGCGTCCGAAAACAGCAATATCTGCCTTCTGGAGGAGTTTGACTATCATATTATCCACCATGACATAATTCCAGAGATGTTTGGTTTATCCCAGTGCCGTTTGCCTTGGGCTCGCTCGGATCACTAAACATGTGGCGCTTCCCCCGCAATGCGGCTCTTTCTGTGATGGCCGCGTAAGCAACAAAAGTTGGTTGCGTCGCCGAATATTGACTAATCGGGCTATGTTGGCCGGTGGCGCCGCCCGTCCCCGTGGAAATCCCCAGGTTATGCACAGATGCGACCAAATCACAGCTAGCTCGAATGGCCTCCCTTCTCAGACAGCGATCATCTTCGGAGCGTTAGTACCTTAGAGCCCGGCACCAAGAGTTGTGGGGTTCTGGCCAATGCAATCCTTCATGCAATGACTCGATCTTAGGCTCCGATTCATGCGCTTCCCATTCCACCCCGTACACATCCACGCCCCATGGGGTCGGTGATGCTAGAACCTCGGACCTTTTAAACGTTTCCAGGCTCTTCTCGTTGAGAGGCTTACCTCTTCTATCGCGGAAGACTTATAAAGCTCTTCGTTCTCTTCTGCAACCTTTCTCTCAGTCACCAACTCTCTCCACAAATATCTTTCTTCTTATCCTTCACCCACAACCTCACCATGGAGAAGAGCGATCCCTACGATGACATGTCGAAAGCAGATGCAGACGTTGCCAGGGTGGAAAACATCGAGGACAATACGATGGTGGTAGTCAACGACGCCGACATCTCGTACGGAAAGAACGGCATTCCAGGACTTATTGGATCGCCTTACGTCTTCGGAGCAGCTCTCCTGGCGTCGTTAGGTGGCTTTTCCTTTGGTTACGACCAAGGAGTTATCTCTATCATCAATGTTATGCCACAGTTCCACGCCGTGTTCCCTAGGACGGAAACTGCATTCGGCAAGAGTTTTATGACTGGCATGCTGGAGCTTGGTGCCTTCATCGGGTGCCTCTTCATGCCGGCGTTAGCCGATAGGATCTCGCGTAAATGGGCTTTGACCGTCGCTGTCGTGATCTTCAACATCGGTGCTATTATGCAGACGGCGGCTCCGAATTACGCAGTACTAGTTGCTGGGAGGACTATCGGTGGTGTTGGTGTGGGAACACTAGCAATGGTGAGTGCTGCTCCTTGTTTTTCTGCTACTTCACAGAGCCACATCTCTGACTCGAACACGTTAAAAACAGGGTGCACCTATCTACATATCGGAACTCTCTCCACCGAACCTTCGAGGTACTCTACTAGTGTTGGAATCGATCTGTATCGTATCCGGTGTCGTTATCTCCTTCTATACTACTTACGGCACGCGTCACATCGCCAGCGAGGCATCTTTCCGACTTCCTTTTGGTCTACAGATGGTCAGTGCCACATTTCTCGGTGTCGGACTACTTTTCTATCCCTTTTCGCCTCGATGGCTCGCCCTAGTTGGTCGCAAAGAAGAATGTCTTCAAAGTCTGAGGCGCCTACGAGGTCTCCCGGAAACCGATCCTCGCGTGCAGGCCGAGTACAACGCCATCCTTACCGAGGTAGAGGTTGAGAAGTCTATCCAAGAGAAGCACCACCCAGGGGTTTCTGGTTTCAAGCTAGAGATCCTAGGCTGGCTAGATCTACTTAAGAAGAAGACATGGCGTCGCACGGCTGTAGCTGTAGGCGCCACCTTCTTTCAGCAGTTTTCTGGAGTCAACGGCTTCATCTACTACGCCCCAACTTTGTTCGCTTCTCTTGGTCAAGACCCAGAGATGGCGCTTACTATGTCGGGAATTTTCAACATCCTGCAGTTAGTAGGTGTGGCACTTTGCTTTGTCATCATCGATCACGTTGGCCGTAGACCCTTAGCCATCTTTGGTGCCCTTGGCGGCGCTATCACTTGGGGAATCATGGCGGTACTGACTGGAATCTACTCAGACGACTGGTCTGCCAACACTTCTGCGGGATGGGCAGCCGTGGCCATGGCGTTCATCTTCATCCTGGTATTTGGAATGTCCTACTCTTGTCTTGGTTGGGTCTTACCAGCGGAGGTATACACGGGCAGCTCTCGAGCCAAGGGTGTCGCTATGGCAGTGTGTGTGAACTGGCTCTGCAACTTTACTGTTGGTGTCGCTACTCCACCAATGCTCGAGAGCATCGGGTTTGGTATGTACGTATTCTATGGGTCTATGTGCTTTCTGGCGTCTATATGGGCATACTTTCTGGTTCCCGAGACGATGGGCAAGACTTTGGAGCAGATGGATTTTGTTTTTGGGGACAATGCAGCACAGGAAGAGAGGGAAATTCTTGAGACGCGTGTGCGCCGGGGAGTCGGAGCTGATCACGGAGTCGTTTGAGGTCGATCAGTGAAGTAGAGGGATCAGGCTAGTCAAGGCTCTATTTCCTAACATAGAGCTGTTGATGGGTGTACGAAGGTTGAGTTCGAGCCGTTCGTAGTGAATAAAGGACAGATCCGCCATTTCGTGGTAAATGCATTTGTGACGAAAGGAAAACAGCATCTCCGTGTCTATGTGATGAACAGTGATTGGAACAGCTAACGCTTATGAGGACGATCCTGCACACGAGCAGTATATGTCTACTCAATCGTATACTATGCTTGCTGTTCGTTCCAAAATCTGATACGGAGTTGGATAGTCGTTCGCAGCATAGAGTGAATCAACGCGCAATGCACGTAGTGGCTATATAGCTGAGGCGAAATGTGGGACTAAGAAAACGGACGAAGCCTGCTATCCACATTACTGAGTGCACTCATCATCACCTGTAGTAGGCTTCATTATGGATGGAAAACCATGCGTATGGAGAGGAAAGGTCTTTCCGAATAGACGGAACAAGATGTAAGGTTGGAAGCCACCCAAGAAAGTATCGATACTATCTCGTGTCTTCGGATCTTTTCCACCACCGGACACGCGATTCGCCCGAAGATGGATATCATATCCCCTTCGGATCGCAAGCCGACCGTTGTGCGGAGTCGGACTTTGGAAATATGGAGCTACATCGCGCACAAGGTTTCTTGCAGTATCACAGAATGTCAATCTCTCTGCATAACATGAGCAATACGACCCACCTTTCGGTGGGACGGGATCTATGGACGCTGAGTTACTTAGGAATCTCCATGGAATGTTCGGCGAAAATTACTGTTTTGGGTAAAGCGTTGGTTGCGTCTGCTGTCTTCGGCGGTACCCCACATTCCGCCTTCCCGCTTTTCCAGCACCAACAACGTCAAGAACTGCAGACTGTAGACTGAACAGGTCATGCGAACGGCCACATCCGCCATTCTTGTCATTGGTTTTCCAAGTTTTGGTCCCTCTTAGCTATGGAGAACCAACCGCCGAAACTTGGACCCCACTTGAGCAGGCACGCAGTACTGCAGGGTTCAGACGTGTGTTTTCCGCCGATGCACGTCCCTTCAAGTAATGCTAGGCAGTCTTACTATCGCGGAATACACCTCTATCGATTGACCTGGCGATATAAGAGACCGCCATAACGCTCAATGCTGTCAGTTGTAATTGGCAGCATCAAGTCTGTTGTTGACCTTTCGTCTCATCTTTCACGCCTCCAAATACAACAAATCCACTGCACGAGACGGAACGATGGGCTCTATTGATACAATCCCTGCGCCTGAAATCAAGACCGACATCGTCATCGGCAAAAATGAGGTCCCGAAGCCTCCTGTGGCGGATGACTTCATGTATGACTTCAAATACAATCACCCTCTCCCGACGACCGACATACTAGGAATTGATATACCGGCCGATTGCAATGCTCAACTTGAGGCAGAGGGCATCGTGGAGAAACTCTCTACTGTCATGAGAAAGGGGGACGCCAACGCATTCGCCGATCTCTTCCTCGACTATGGTGAGTCTGGCTTCATTGTGTATCTTCCTAGTGCCCTACCCGACAGTGAGCATGGCGTACATTCTAGCTGTAGCTGACATCTACTCCTCAAATTCACAGGCGTGTGGCGTGATAAGTTGTCATTCACATGGGATTTCCGTACGTTCAATTGGCGACCAGCGATCCTGAGAGCCGCGACCGACTTATTCCCCCAAACTCGAGCTAGGAACTTCCACTTCCTTAACCCTGCGCCAAAGGTTGCTCGACCATATTCCGATTTCGCCCACCTGCAATTCGTCGTTTCCTTCGAGACAGATGCTGTAGTCGCTTCGGCGGTCATTAATTCTGTTCTCACCAAGAATGATGGCTGGAAGATCTACACAATGCATACAGTCGCAGAGGAGCTCATCGACCATCCTGAAGTTCCCCCTGAGGATGGCCACATGACTGGTTTGATCAGCTGGGAGAAGCAGAGAGCACTAGATGTTGACGCTGCTGACCCTGAGGTTTTGATCATTGGTGGCGGACAAAAGTAAGCAACTTAGCCCAGCCCCCATATTGTCTCCTTCCTTTGGTTCTCATGTTCACATGCTCTACTCGGCCGCGAAGCGCCCGTAGTAACAGTATGATTGGAATTATACTCACTGACCCGCGTGTTACAGTGGTTTAGCCATGGCCGCACGGCTGAAAGCCCTTGGCATGGACAGTTTGATCATCGAGAAAAGCGACGAGATCGGCGATATCTGGCGGAAGCGTTACGAATACCTCTCTCTTCACTTTCCTCACTGGCCTGATGCGCTACCGTACTTCCCATACCCTAAGGGCTGGCCGACCTATACCCCGGCCCAAAAGCAAGGCCTCTACATGCAGTGGTACGCTTCAGCACTTGACCTGAACGTCTGGACCAAATCCACTGTCACCAATGCCAAGCAAGATGAGCAAGGCCGTTGGACCGTCACTATAAACAAGGAAGGCAAGGAAAGCCGAGTACTTCACCCTAAGCAGCTGGTCATGGCTACCTCGCTCTGTGGTCTGCCCTCGATGCCAGATGTGCCTGGCTTGGATAGATTCAAGGGCACGATTCGGCACTCTAGTGCTCATGACAGTTCTCGAGGCTTCAAGAAAGTTTGTGTCGTTGGAACATCATCTTCTGCTTTCGACACGGCTTATGACTGCTCTCGTCGCGGCATCGATGTCACCCTCCTCCAGCGATCCCCGACCTATGTCATGTCTCTTACTCACTCCGTACCGCGTATCTTAGGAGGCTATGCTCCGGATAGCAGGACCCGTGATATCCCGAAACTAGAGGAGCAGGACCGGCTATTCTTCGCAACCCCCTGCGGTCCTGGTGAAGAGCTTGGCAGGCGTAATGCAAAGGTTCTCGAAGACCTCGATAAGCCGCTTCTCGATGGCTTGAATGCTAAAGGCTTGCGGACATGGAGGGGTCAGCGTAACACAGGCAATGCGACATTAGGTCAAACTCGCAACGGCGGTTTCTACTTCGACGCAGGCGCTTGCAAGGAGATCATTGACGGCAAGATCAAGGTTGAGCAGGGTTATATCGACCACTTCACAGAGGATAAAGCGGTCTTGAGTGGAGGTCGAGAGAGAGAATTCGATCTAGTTGTATTCGCGACTGGTTTCACAAACACGATCGAATCTATCCGCGCTACACTTGGAGATGAGATCGCGAGCAGAGTTGGGCCAATATGGGGTGTAGATGAGGAGGGAGAAGCCAAGACAGCTTTCAGGGAGTCTGGTGTGCCAAATCTTTGGATTATGGTTGGCTTCCTCCCCATGACTCGTTACGTATCCAAGCTGCTTGCGTTGCGGCTGAAAGCACTCAAGGAAGGTGTCGCTCACCCGCCATATAAGAACTGAGTATCATTTGTAGTAGCTTAGGGAATATATCCCAGTAGACTTTATATCTCAAACGCATGCTCCCATTGGGCCGACTAGTCTATCTACTACACGTTAGATCTACGTCACACTTTGATCTTTCTTAGATCAAGTATTCAAATATGTACTGCGAGCAGAATCTAGTAGAACATACTGTGGTTACATAGAGATACGTAGAGTAGTAGCTAAAGTTGTATAAAGAAGAGCTTCTCCAATATAGAAGTCAATGGCTCTCAATCTCTGCCTTGCCACGATTACAACTAAGAAGTAGCTATTTATCTATCGGCAGACGAGGTTGCCTCGCTTGGGAGTGCCCTTGTCGCACATGCACTGCTGGCCCTGAGCGCAGCGGTGGTTGATAGCCCACTTGCCATTCACGCAGTATAGCTTTCTGTTGTCAGACCTCAGATCTCCAATTCAAAAGATGCAAAGACTTACAACTACAGCTCTGTCCTTGATACCACAAGCATGCGGGTCCGATTCGCCGCCCCCAAACGTGCAAGAGTCGCCGGCTGCGCGCAAGTCGCTGCCGCAGAAGTCGATGCCGCCACGGGCTTCGAGAGGAAAGTGGTTGACAGAAGAGACGTCTTCGACGGCAAGTGGGTTGGCACCGGCCATGAATGGCACAAAGGCGAGAACGGAGAGATACTTGGTAAGCTGCATATTGAGCGAAAGATTCGAGTATTGGTGAAGTATTGTTGTTGAAGTTTGAATGAAGTGCTTTGATGAATTGACGATGGATCAAAGGCCCTTTATACATGAGAGGGTAGCTGTACTAAGCTTGCATTGCAATAGTTAGGAGCTGCGGTGGGAGGCCTTGATAGAAGCGTCTAACCATCTCGAGTTGAGAGATTACTTGCTTGTTGACGCTATTTGGCGATAACACATGGGAACGAAGGCTACACAGAGTGCAATGCTGTCTATGCCATAGGACCGGTAGTGAGATCCGGATAGCCCCTGGAGATGAGTTGGTTGAATCGAGCTTAGAATAGATAAGCTAGGCCGGCATCCCAAGGTCGTCTGCGATAGCGGGAGGCCTGGGTTGTAGTAACTCTTTACACGATACATCTGAGCCTCTGTGGGTTGTGATACGACCCCTGTCCAACGAACCAATAAGGACGCTTCCAAGGGGCGGGCGGAGCGGCCCCTTCCTTACGGATCTATAATATCGATGCGAGGCCCCACGCTAGCCACCGGTAGATGTATTATGTAAGGCCCCCAGACCCTGCATGGTTCTAGGCCAGTGGAACTGCTTGTAGACTTCTGAACGGCGACTTTACCTAGAGGCCTCAAATGCAACAGAGATGTTACGAAACGGTAAGCCAGAAACTATGTAAGATTACGTTACACAACCCGGGTGCTGGTATCTATGTCGTTGTTCACTGTAAGGCATCCTTTAGAGACTAGACCAGCATAACGTGGTGCCTTGATACTTCGGATGCAATGTATCGCCTGCATGGTCCAGAACTGGAAATAATCGAAGTAAAGTACCTCATACCAGCCACCAAGGGCCTACGCCCAGCAGCATCAAGGACAGGAGGCACGGCACGGATGCGAACCTATCTTGATAGAAAGCGACGGTAGGCATCTTGACCAAGGCTTTTCTTATTGACCTTTCGTGCTTTTCCTGTGCAATGTACAGTAGCGTAGATTCGTTGTGCAATTCAACCGCTGGGGAAACCTTGGGGGCGTTCACAGCTATACTCCAGCTCCATACCCATGATATGCCTGTATCACAGCAATGGCCCTTCTTCCGCCTCTAACTACGGCTTTCGAGTTCATTGGCGGCAGCACGTATCGCCTGCAGCAGTTGTTTCACCATCTTCCCTGTCCTTTTCGTTGTCGGGGTTCAAGTGGTCGGCGACGTAACTGCTTGCCTGATTCTTGATAGTTAGCGTTGACCTCTCGCTGGTAGATGCACTTGATCCACTACTATCAAGTCATCGTTCCAAAAGCATCTGTGGCTATGTCGGCACATGTGTTTCCTAACCATGGGCATTAGACGCACAAACACGGTAGATCGAAGCTATCGCTCGGCAAACGCTTCAGAAGCTGCATCGGGCGCAGACATGCTTTTCCTAGGCTATAAACATCAGTCATGATTGGTAGATTGTGATAAGTATGGAGGTGCGAAGAGAGTCAAGGGATGCAGAGCATAAGCGGTAACTTTCGCGCATCCTGAATGCGCAGCTTCAGCCCACGTCGAGCAGGCTGTAAATGGGCGCTTGCCGGAGTCTGGGGTGGCGCAGTTGGCGCTCACCACTTCCCCGCGCCGCGTTCGCCAGCGGTTGATTGAACAGTGCCGGTGCGCGTAACGCCCCACCCACAACACAACAGATTCATGAGTATTGCAGCTGTGATGCCTGAGGAACCGGGTGACCCAGCTTTTGGAGACCTCTTTGCTAGCCAAATGATCAGCAAACGCCGTCCAGTAAGCGTTTCGATATGTCATACAAGCTCGGCTTCGTATTCTGGGTGGAGGAGTTGATGCGCAACGTTGCGGAGTCTTGTTAGGCCTTAGTCCTTTCGAACGAGCGTACTGCGCTCAACACCGTACTTGGCAGTGACTTTGTTATGTGAGAAATCATTTCCTTGATTGCGCGATTTTGTTTCTTCAATCGCTTCTCAAATTTGACCCCGATCAGTGTAGTTGTGACGCGTTGAAGATGTGTTGTCGTGGGGGTGGGGCGTTACGCGAACCTGTGCACTACGCGCGCCGGCACGGTAGTCCTCCCCAGCTGAGCGATCTCTGCGTCAACAACTGTACATGCCACAATGAGCAAACGTTGATATTTCTCACGACTTTCACGATAGCATCTAAACACCTACTTTCAGTTACTGTCTGCCAAGAGCTATTGACGATGAACGGCTAACTGGATGCATTTTGATGATCTTGTTGTTTGTGCGGCGGGTGAACCACCAGAATGCGCATTCTCGACTTCGAATTGACTTTTCAATCTGCAGTCTTATTGCTCTAACTCCAGCTTCCTCCCTAGCTAACTCAATTCTTCGCAGATACGCATTGACTGTCTCATGATGACGTGCGTGCCAGCACGCTGAGATGCACTTTGGACTGTCATTTCACGACTTAACGTCACAACACTGGCTTGCGGATAGGGAAGACAAAAAAGAAAATACAGGATGTGTTGCTGCAGGCTTATTGGACATGAATAGTGACTTCGGCTTACAAAGTCCCCGGAGAGTGCACTTTGTTGGTATTCTTCGCCTTGTTGCGCTCCCTGAGATCTAATTCCCTCACTACCGCTTTAGCCAATTTCCTCCTTTCTTCGCGATCCTTCTTCTTCATTTCATCAGATCCTATTTTGCCTGACTGCTGGTTGCGAAACTCTTTCCAAAGTTTCCCATAGAAAGTGAGATGCTTATCTGCTTTCTCCTCGGCCTTGCGCTGATGGTGTTCTTCCTCGTCCTCAGTGTTATAGAATTCCAGATCGCTGTTCTTTTCAGGGAGGCATCGGATGGTTTCAGGTGACTGTGTGTCGATGAAGTGCTGGTCACGACATTTATGCCAGGCTTTGGTACGTTTGTAAGCCTTGTACCCGTCTAAGCAACTGAAAAAGAGGAACAATATAAGGGTGGGGCAAAGTATAAAGGCCAGAATACAGCCAACAACGATGAAGCCAATGTTCATGATGAGATTTGTCCGAAACCTCGTGTATAGGTATGCAGAAGAATTGTTGATTTCAGAATAAGGGAAGGGAGGACTGCAAGGAAGTGGGTGGTTTTCTAGTCCTATCCGGGTAATCGGAGTCTCTGACGCAAGCGATGCTGTGCTTAGTCTTACCGGATAGCTCGGCCGTTTAGACAAGTCAACTATCGATCCCCGCACGGTAAGCAACGCCACCTTGCCCTGATAGGAAGGGACGCGACGTACTGTCTAAACATTGCTATTGGCATCGCACAACAACACGAACAGCGGTATCAACAGGAGTGTAGTGGAATAAAGACATGCAGCGTATGTATTCGAGGAACAAACTCTAAAGCGGCAGAACGATGTCAACTTTCTCTTGTCCGCGCACGGTCCCCTCCTGACTCCATCTCCATAGCATATTCGCACAATCGCAGAGTCTAGCACCATGAGCTTATGACTGTTGGGCGACCGTGGTCGTTGAGGCTGCATGTATCTCCTGCTCGTTCAAGTCCAGTTGGCGCTGTGGTATGCATAGCAAGGCCGCCGCAAAAGACAGCACAGCAGCTGATACCACTACACATCTAACATCGTCAGATGAATTGCTGCGACTTTCGATCATCGAGTCTTCCATGCACTCTCAACATCCAGCCAGGTCTTGAAGTCCTTGAGCTCCGGATTACGCTCCTTCAGGCTAGGAATGTCTGCTCCATACCCAACATCGCGGAACCACTGAAACATGTAGCCTAGCTCCTTAACCATCCCGTTGATCGCCGCCGATATCAATCTGTACGTCGTCGGCAGATTCTGACCTGTCTTCTCCTCGAAAATCGTCTTGAACTCATCGTAAGTCAACTCGTCTCCTGCAATCGATATCCTCTCGTTGAGATACTCTTTAGGCTTCATGAAAGCCTCGGCTGCGAAGAAGCCAATGTCACTCGTGGGGATTAGCTGTAGCTTCTGGTCTCGGCGCAATGTCGTCTGCCAGCTTGTTGTAAAAACTTTGCCGAAGAAATTTGGCATTAGGTTTTCGAAGAAAGCGACAGGACGAAGGACGGTGTAGTTCATGCTGCTATTGCTGTCCACCTTGCTAAACAGGTGCTGCTCGATGTTGTGTTTGCTGATAAAGTGCGGAATGTTAGTGGGGTCTTTGTCAGATCTCGAGCCGCCGCGATCGACGGACGAGTAGACAAAGTGTTTCACACCGTGTTTGAGCGAGGCATCAACCAGGGCTTTGCCTTGACGCTCTTCGCTCTGGGCGTTTTGTCCACCTCCCATTGGAACCTGCTGTTGTCAGCATCTGCAATGTTGCGCGGGACAAGTCATCTCTCTAGATTACCTGCACACTGAACACCCCCCAGATGGGCAGGTTGGTTGCTTGTCTTGCTGAATTGAAGACATCTTCAATCGTGTCTAGATTGCCCGTAACGAGCTTGATCTTCGGAGACTTCTGGGCAAGCCTCTGTGCGGATGCTGACTGCGCGTTGCGCGTAAGGGCGAGAATCTGCAACTCGCTGTTGGCCTTGAGAAGCGCGTTCACAACGGAACCACCTTGCTTTCCAGTAGCGCCAGTTATCAATACCGCAGCCATGTTGGTGCGTTTCAGAGGATGAAGGACGTGATGCTCAGAAGTGGGAATTCGATGCTATGTAATAAGCAGAAGGACGTGAATGCTAGTAAACACGTAGAGATATTGTGTTAGCTGGCGGGTGAGTGACAGGACAGTCAATTATTTGAGGTCTTCATAGCTTTATCACAGCTTTGGTGAGCACGTTTAGCCGGTGGCAGCGTAGCAAGACAGTCGACTTTGCGACCCCTACAGGCAAGAAGACATCTTTCGTCCGGCTCCCAAGTTGACGATATGTGACGTCACTATCATGTCTGTGCGCGAAATGAGGCGGGCAGCCTTACACATCTCGGCCTTGCTGAAGACGCGAGCGCGAACTCGTATGCCCGCGCCCACAAAAACACCGGTTCTGGCCTGTTGTATGATAACAACCCTATTTGCAGGAGAAGTTCATCGTCCGTAATAGCACGCGGCCTACGACTTGCGTTATCTTTGTTGTTCAATCATCATCATTCGTATTCTCATCTTCAGGCCCACAAAGTGCTGCTATATCCAATGCTACTTATCTAGCCTTTCTGTATCTGATGTCACCCCGGCTGATTAGAACAGAGCTGCATGCCGAGCAAGAGTGCCTCGATGTTTTCGCTTCAGAACGACACTTAGAAAAAGATGGTGATTCTGGAACTACAAGAGCCAAGACACAAGGCAAGAACGATAGGCGCATCTGAAGTTGACTTTCGCTGCGGAGTGGAGTCCAAAAAGAGATGACATAGGTATGGGTGTGTCGGCTTATCGGAATCTCCAAAGACGGCTCTTCCTAAATCAGCGACACTGCAACTGAAGCGCCATCCTGCTGAGCTGAACGATATCCCGCCTCGACGACAGACAATGCACGTTGCGCCTCCTCGAGACCGACAAGCGGCCGCTGGCCTGCGCGGCAACGAGCGAGCGCGTCCCGGAAGAATATGGGATAGAACTCGTCGGTGTTGTACTCGACAGTTGCGGACCGCGACACGCCGTCAGCAGACTTTACGACAATCTGGTCAGCGAATCCCTGGACATATGCAGTATCGTGAGAGACCGAAAAGCCGAACTCGCGCTGGTCATCCGGCGTGCCAGGGTACAGATATCCTGTATGTACATGGGCAATTTGACCAGAAGACATGGTTACTGTGAACATAGCCAACTCGTCAATGTCAATGTCTTCGCGGAATGTCCTCGTTTGTGCCGAAACCGAGATTATTCGACTTTCGGTCAGTGATTCCAGAAGATCGAAAAAGTGCACGCCGACATTGAGAATGGACCCACCACCGGCCGTAGCTTTTGTAAGCATCCATTTGCAGCCATTTGTTTCGTACCGACTGGACGATCCGACAATAAAGCGGAATGACAAATGTCGAAAACCAGCAGGCGATAGCGATCCGTTTTGACTAAGCTCGCGTGCCAGGTCGCTCACACGCAGAATAAACGGGACAGTGACGAAGATGCCAGCTTTATCCGCTGCTTGAAGGAGTGCAGCGACTTCGGCTGTGTTCAGCCCACAAGGCTTTTCGATCAGGAATGGCCGTCCTTTGTCGATGATCATTCGGGCGGTCGCCGCCATCTCCGGGTGCCGGCTGAAGACCATTGCAAAGTCAAAGTCAAGATTGAGCAATTCGCCGCGCGACAGCAACGGGCAATTGAGTCGACGTGCCATTTCGGGGCCCGCGAAGCCCTCGCTATCGCATATTCCAACGACTGTGATGCCAGGGTCGGTCAGGACGGGGATATATAGCGGAAAATGCCAGTGGCTAACATCGAAAACAGCGATGCGCATAGTTGATGAATGTACAGGTAATAGAACAATGCGGAGAAAGCGTATGTTTTCATCCGATTATATCAAACCCGCAATGAAAGGTGTGGTCGGGTCGGTTATTGCTTCCGAAAGCGACAAGGCTGGACGGACCGGCCCGACCGGGTTCTCCCCGACTCCGTAACCTCAATTGCTGCACGATGAGGTACCCCGCGCGGGGTCGTTCTTCCTTATTTCGGCATCGGGCCGACAATATGGGACTGTTGGAACCCAATACCCTTGTCCAGCTGAGTTTGATATATACCTTCATTCCGAAGGCGGCTCTACATTTTGCTACTTGTGACTAGCCTACCTTGATTGCCTGCTCACACGTACGGAAACGTAAACAGCAATCCTCCACATCAACATGTCCAGTAGTGGTGTTATCAATGTCGCTGTAAGTTAATGTAGCAAGCACTGCGGATTGGCCATCTGACTAGACGCAGGTTGTCGGTGCTGGGGAAATCGCAATGTGCACACATGTAAGGTCATACATATCTGATGTATAGTAACGATCTCGTTCGACTAACTCTAGCATGTAGCTACCCACCCTAGGCTTGCTTTCACATATGTACAAGGTTACAGCAATAGTGGATGTTTCAAAACAAGCCGTAGAGCATTGTTCACGAAAGTTCAACATCCCTCGCACCTTCACTGACGTGTAGGTCCGGTCCTATCTAGTCCATGCCCCCGTACTCACGTCTCCAACAGACCCCAAATGCTGGCAGCGTGCTCCGACGTTGACATGGTATTGATGTGTCATTCCGAGTGAGTCGTACTTTGCAACTGGTGTCAAGTCTGCACGATTGCTGATATCAAGGTCCATCTTCAGCGAGTTTCATGGCATCCACGCAGTACAGTGTCTGAGAGCCGGTAAGCATCTTTTCATCGAAAAGCCGATGGCTCAGACCTTGCGAGAAGCGGACGATATTGAGGCCGCACGCCTCGCTTCCGGCAAGCTGGTATTCGTCGGTTACATGAGACGATACGCGACCGCGTTCTTGAGGTTCAAGGATGCTGTGCGAAAACTGGATCCAGCCCAGATCAACTATGTTCGATTTCGCAACTTCACATCGAGGGTCAGGGATGGAATCATCAGTCAGAGCGGGACTTACTCACAACGGTTCTCGGATATCCCTAGAGAAGCTTCGTCTGAGAGGCTTCAAGTCGCCAGAAGCCAATTTGAGGAGTATACGGGCCTCGACTACGAATCACCAGTCGCACAGTACATTCGGGCTTGCAAGTTTCACATCTCTCCGCACGATCTGAGTCTTATGCGAGAGCTGTTCGGTCATCCTCGCCGTGTTATTGCTGCTGTTCCTAACGCCCGAGGGAACTTCCTGTCTATCATGCTACAATACGACGGCTTTGTTCTTGCGTACGAGTCAGGCGAAGATGCTGTATTGTCTGTAGACGCGACCGTCGAGGTCCTGGCTCAGCACCAGCGACTTAAGCTTACCTTTGACTCGCCGTATATCAAAGGCTTGCCAATCACTGCGACAACGCTGTCCAGGCACCCTAACGGCGACTTTTCGGAAGAGACGATCCGGCCGACATATGAGGATTACTATACGTTGATGTTCAAAGAGCTGTATCGCTGCCTGAGCGGCGACGCAGAAGTCAAGACTACTGTGTTAGACTCTCGGGAAGAGATTGTTATGCTAAGCACCATTTTGAACGTCTTGGCAGAAGAGTTCCAAAAGAATCAGTAGATTGATAGAGATTGAGAAGGCATATTGTTGTGTGCAGAGCATATAATTACGCAATCACCATAGTTCTTGTTCGTGTTGTCGTCGATGTATCAGGCGAGGCCGAAGTCTACGTGAAAATCCGGTCGTTCTCATCATCCAGGATTCTACATTTAGCTTATTGCCATGATGGGCGAGCCTCAAAACCAAGGCTGGTTTTTGGATATGTGTGATCGGGTTCGTGATAGAGTGGAATAAGGCTGAGGAAAGGAACTGTAGAAAAAGAACGACCACCTCAGTACGAAACGATTCATTGATTGGCCGGTGGTTACTTAACGCCATATGAATTATTCTCTTACGGGTGCTAGGCGGGCTTCGCTTAGGTTGATACCCGCTCATCACTGTAGAAGGGCTTTTCGCCGCACTCTGGTTACATATCGATGCATCATCGCCTAGATAAGGCTATCATCTTCCATCAACGACTTTGGCAACCATGATACCACGTCGCTGCCATGTCCACGATACCCAAACACCGTCTTCGTCATCACCCTCCGTGGGCGTCAAGCAGGGGTACCTATGATTGATGGTCAGCCAACCAACATCCTCTCAACCCATTAGCTCGTCAACGAGATTTCCTAAAGTACTTACGAGAACTCAGATCTTCCGTCATTCACGATCCCCGTTTCCAGCGCAATAACTCGCTTGAAATCATCAGGCGGAGGCGCATCCTCCAGCGTTGCCCAAAGCTTCCAAGTCTTGCCGTCGTCCTCACTAATGGCAAGACACAACGGTGTTCGCGGACCCCAGTTTTGCGTCTGATAGTTACCGGCCCTTCCGTTGCGTTAGATCCTGAACATCGATGCACGCTCGGGATGCAAACTCACCAAACAACTCTTCCGTCCCGTAAGATTGTCACGCAATGACCCGAGTTGTTGTTCGGCAGCGATGTCCTATAAGCAGGCCCCCACGTTCGACCATAGTCTGTAGAGTCCGCTTGGATGATGCAACCAACACTGGATCGCATCGTCATGTGACAATGGCCCGGTTTGTCTCGAGATTCCCATACACCAGGTTGGATAACACCCTCTCCCGGGAAGCTGCCGTCAGCCTTCCCGCGATCAGAGGGGAGCTCTATGAGATCAGATCGGATCCACTTATCTCCTTGCTTAAAATCGTCTCCAGGCCCAGGTCTAGGCGCTGTGTCAGACCAAGCGTCCTGCCAGTCAGCGTGAGCCATCGCGTCGACAACAGACGAGAGAACAGAGGAAAGAGCGGAGGAGGTAGCAGAGAAACACCAAACAAGGACGTACCCATACACCATAGGCCTCACTACCTGGCGGATTGGTAACTTCGTACGATCCCACCGAAAGCCAATCGCCGTTGCTCAATACTATCGGCGGATTCTTTTGCGGCCCTCTACCTCCTTTGCCGTCTGGTCCAGGAACGAGCTCTCTCGCTACAGACCAGGTCTCTCCACCATCACTGCTGCTTGTCCAGAACGTGACCCAGACGGGAATAGGCGTGAACTTCTTGAAGAAGACATGAAGTTCCTGCGGCCGGGAGCGGTCAGGAATAAAGAGGACCGGATTCCAATATACGACTTCCTCGCCTTCTTTGTTGCCGGCGATGTCACGAGGCTTAGTCCACTTGCCATCAACATTCTTAGAGAACCTGCTCACATCCTTTAGTCGTATTGCGAGTAGTCGCGAGCTTCACAATGAGGAAAAGAGCACTGACCAGATCTTTGTGTCTATCGAGCCCTCATAGGACCCTCCGAACCAAGTCGAATATCTAACACCGCCAGCCACGGCAATATTGGTGCAGTGAATTGCTGGAGCTCGTTCGTCATCTTTGGAGACACACTCAGGTGTAACCAGTGCTGGTATGCCGGTACGAGCGCACTGGGCATATATTGGTACTTCTGGAGCGCCCGCCGCGGACATTGTGGGTATGCAAACAAGAACAATAGGAGTCAAGAACACGGTTCGAAAGTGTATGACTGTTGTTCATTGAGACGCATCACTGCCAGTTTGTACAGCTTTATGCTCGCGGGTCAAATTAGTCATCATGTCTCGGGCCGGTCGGAGATCCCGAATTGCACGCAGCGTCATATGCAGATTACTGGTGTTCGAAGGGACGGGTGGAAAAAGCAAAACATGTCAAGTCTCTCAATTGGTATTTCCAACCAAACATACGCCAGTATCCTCGTGAGCCTCCCTATCTGCCGTCTCAGGATCGATGCGGACTGAAATGTTCATACAGATTCGATCTCCTCCCGCTCGTTCTTAACCTTGTAGTCATACGAAGGTGACGATGGCCGATGCGCCTGAATGTATGCCGCTTCGCCCGCCGCGATATGGTCAGGAAGAGGTGGAATACCGTTCGGTGGAAAGAGCTTTTCGGCTCGCCAGGCCGCATGCCGCATCTTGCCAGAGAACAACGCCTCGCAACACTCGATAGGCACTGCCTTGGTTTCGGGGACCCAAACGAAGGTAAATACAGCAGTCAAGAAACAAAGCGCGGAGAAGAAAAAGAATGTCCCGTTTGCGCCCACGTCAGAGGCAATCATATACGGGAAGACCAACGTGAGGATAAAACTGAAGAACCATTGCAAGGAAGCAGCAAAGGCACCGGTGATTGGCCTAAGTCGGGCTGGAAAGATCTCTGCGGCTACTATCCATGGTAGACCGTTTCCTCCAAAACTCCAGAAGATTCCGTAAAGCATCACCATCGCGGTTGCGCCGGTACCGGCAGCGTGAACCGAGGCAGACGGAGCGCCTACGGTTGTGTCGGCCACCGTTGTGAAGATCGCGATATACAAAAGAGTCAGGGAGCATGTTGAGGCGGATATCAGCCAGGGCAGTCGACGACCCGTGCGGTCCACGACGAAGGCATAAAAGGCAATAGCTGCGGTTGAGCGGCAAACTCCGTATATCCCAGTGTATAGCGCCACGTCGCTGATGAGAAGGGAGCGAAATAGGATCGGAGAGTAGTAGTTTATGCCTGTTGAGAGAGGTTAGTGCTGTGGTGGGAGACATAGGAAGGAGAGTGTGTTTACAGATGGAGCCAGACCAATTCTGGAACATGAACATTCCAACTATGACGGCGAGCCGGAATCGAATGCTCGGAGTCTTCATCTCGGTCATCGAGCCACGCAGTATAGCCAACCAACCTGTCTGACCGCCAGATAGACGTTCTTCTTCTTCTAGCCTGGCCTCGATTCTGCCAACCTCTTCCAGCATATATTGATGGTCGGCAGGAAGTTGGCGAAGGTAGCAGAGGTTCTTGATAGCTTGTTCCCTCTTGCCCTTTCGCCATAACAAAGTAGGCGACTCTCGAAGAATGAGCGTCCCCAAAGCCAAAAGACCTCCGGGGATGATTTGAATAGCCAAGGGAATGCGAAAGGTGATCGCCGCGTCAACTCCCATGTTCTGGTTGATGCCGTAGTTGATCCAGAAACCGACCAACGAGCCGACTTGGTATGCTACCTGCAGGATGGGGAAAGAAATAAGCACAGCACATCTTGAAAGTAGGTATGTATACATACGTCAAAATACCCGGTCAACTGTCCACGAATAGCGGTGGGAGCCACCTCCGCAATGTAGGATGGGATGATACCCGTCAAAGCACCCACACCAAAGCCAGTCAAGGCTCGCCCGGCATACATCATTGGCAAGCTCGAGGTTGTAGCAGTCATGAGAACAGCACCGACCAAAAAGATAGCGCAGCTGACCTGCATTGCCCGAATCCGACCAAGCGTCTCGCTGGACGGCCAAGCAGAGAGTGATCCAAAGAAACCCGCGGCGAGGTAGGACGAGGTGATGTTTGACGTGTTGGATGTTCGAGCAGAAGCGGACATATCCTTGAAGCCGAAATGCTTGAGTTCGTCAGCTATAGAAGTAAAAGTGATTCGCCGCAATGCTATTGACTTACCTCCTGGAAGCTGGCTCGGGCGAGCGTCGTTCCGAAGAACGAGCCATCGTAGCCCTGATGACAAGAGCTTAGCTTGTTGGCTCTCGATACAGATATTTCCTTTAACTCACGAATGTGAGAGCTCCAAATGATGCTACGATTGCGAGTGTGTAGATTCGCCAATTGTAGACCTCGGCTGTATGTATCGTGGTTAGCACTAATACGACATCTAGAAGTGGATTGGTAGGAACTGACGAGGTGTAGGGCGGTCTTCGACGATTCCAAACCCCATTTTTGATTGATGTCTCAAATCGTATAGTGTTCTGATAGTTGTTGCGATGGTAGGCCCGTTCTGGACATTCGGGAAATTGTTACTTATGGTGGTTGGACTCAGCTGCCCGAGCCGTATCCGACACCGATTCGGACCGGTCACCGGCCCGCTCCGATGACGTTGGCACAAAGTCGCGGTACTCGGCTGGGCTGTATAGGTCACATCGTCGCTGATTCTTGTTTGAGGTATTATTCTTGTTCTCTCATCACCGTCAGATAAGACAGTATCTGGCTCAGCATCCGCGATGCTTGATCTCGAATCATTCGGCTTGTCCTCGCTGTTTTCTGTCGAGGGGAAGGTGTGTAGGTCGCAACGTAGAGCTACAGCTACTGAAATTCTTAGACTGTCGTCGTGACTGGAGGAGGTTCGGGGCTTGGGAAAGGTATGTAGTTCTATACGGTGGTCGCTTTAGGCCTTGCTCACATCTTCCCTTAGCCATAGCCGGCGGTTTTGCGTTTAACGGCGCCAAGGTCTACATTGTGGGCAGGAGAGCTGATGTCCTCAATTCAGCAGCAGACGAAATCAATGCAGCGAGTCGTGGTAAGGTCATACCGTAAGTCATTCTGCCCCACCAGTGCCGTACCTCAACTCGACCATCTCACTATAGCAAGAATGCTAACTCTATAAGACTACCTGGCGACGTCGGGTCTAAACAAAGAGTCGATGAGCTGGTGAATGGGCTACAAAAGCTTGAGGATCACATCGACGTGTTGATCAATTGCGCTGGAATAAATCGTCCTTGGAAAGCTGAAGCATCAGAGTTTGATGGTCGACACAACGATCCTGACGCAGTCGAGAAGTTGTTGTGGCACGGCCTTGATGATGAAAATTTCCAGTCGACCTATTCAATCAATGTCAACGGCGTCTACTTTATGAGCACGAGGATGGTTCCCCTTTTACGCAAGTCACCAGCTCCGACGGTCATCGTCATTGCCTCTATAGCAGGAATGATGCTACAACGGCAAGTCATCACACGTTGTCTGCTTGCGAAGCTCGAGCTGATTGTATCCTAGCACAGTTGGAGCATTGTCGTATCCAATATCCAAAGTGAGTTTGTCTGTCTCCCAGTCGGATCGACACTAATGATAAGGCTGCGACACTGCACTGTGCAAGTCTACTCGCCTCGCGATTCACACCGTAAGTCCTTCATTCTAGTGATAGAGGCTTCATGGACTGATGGATCTCTTAACAGCTTCAAAATACGGGTCAACACGATTCTCCCGGGTATCTTCCCTTCCGAGATGACTGGCGTCTCTGCGAAACCTGATCTCAGCGATCTGATAGAGTCCAATCCCCAAGCGGCAAAGGCAGTGGCACGATGCCCGGCTGGGCGAGCGGGAGCAGAAACAGAGATCGTTGGGCCTTGCCTCTTTTTGGCTTCAGCGGCAGGTGGTTACATGAACAACGCGAGAATTACCGTTGACGGGGGACGCCTGATGGCGGCCGGATCGAATGACGGCGTTCGCATGGAGGATTGGACGTATGTATAGTATAGGCGCATTCACGTCTTCGTATAGGAAAAACGTTGAATGCATAGAACAGGGTCATGTAGTGACGAACAGAGAAGAGATTTTCAGCTTGATATCAACTACATCAATTGGACTTCGCTTTCGACTAGGTCATACACGAGTAGGGTATTGAGTAATACGAGTACCACAAATTCTACAGCGAAACGCGCTCGATGTCATTCTTCGCTGCGTGCGATGTAGCTTCGAAAGGAAGCGTCTCCTGCAGCGCCGCAAAGTTCTTCTCTGCCTCCCAGTTCCAGATACTATCCGATGCGAAAAGCAGGTCAATTTCCTCAAGCGTGCGCTGGTTTGTCTCAGGGTACAGTGCCCAAACCATGGGGATCGTAATCGCGTTGCATGCGGCGAAGATGTACAGCGTCTTCTCACCGAGAGCCTCGAACATGATTGGGCAGAGTAGCGTGAGCCAGCCGTTTCCGATGGACCATCCAACGACGCCCCAAGCGTTACCCTTTGCGCGTACCTCTAGCGGGAAGATCTCCGCGGGATAGAGCCACGGCACTGTCAGCCATGTTGCGCCGAAAATGGCTGTGAAGATGAAGACCATAGATACCGCCGCGTTGCCGTATGAAGATGCCGCGCTGGTGTCGCCACGTTTCGTGGCTTCTTGACCTAGGTAGGAGAACCCTCCGGCGAGCGCCATTGCGATTCCTTGGCCTGCCGAACCCCAGTAGCAAGTCCATCGGCGGCCAATACGGTCCAGAGTGAAGACGCAGATAAGTGTCGCGAACATGTAGAAGATGTTGTTGAGGCCTGAGATCCACTGTCTCTTTGCTGGGCTCATGCCTGCGATGCCAAAGATGGTTGGAGCATAAATCGTAACACCGGCGATACCGACCCATTCTTGCATGATTTGTAGCCAAATCACAAGCTGGACGCGGCGACCAGTATGCAGCTTGCCAGAGCCGATTCCAAACAGCATGTGAAAGTAGCTCTGCTTACGAAAGTTGGACCGCTCCAACTCGCAAGAAGCCACAATCTCTTGGAACTCAGTCTCCGCTCTCTCCCTGTCTTCCCCAGCGTCGCCTCGAAGCCGACTCAGCACGTACCGTCCTTCGGCCTCGCGACCGACCTTGACAAGCCAACGCGGCGACTCCGGGAAGAACATGACGGCAGCCATGAGTATCATGAGCATCGGGATCTGGAATGCGATAGGGAAGCGCCAGATAAAGGACGAAGTACCGTCGCCGTAAAAGGAACATGCATACTCAAGCCAGTATGCGATGACAACACCGAGGATGTTGAGTGTGAATTCGATGGCGATGAATTGGCCGCGCGAGGTATGTTCCGCAGTCTCCGTGGCCCAGACGGGGATGATAGAGTTGAGAATGCCAGTACCCCAGCCGTTGACGAGCCGCGCGCAAATCATCCACTCGTGATTCATCGCTGAGCATTGCAAGCATGCGCCGACGGTCGCGACAGCAGCTCCGACGAAGATGGTCTTGATGCGTCCGAAGCGGTCGCCAATGGAGCCTCCGACCAAGCAGCCGACCAAAGTCCCGAGGTAATACACTGAAACAATGCCGCCCTGGAGCAACGTGTCGTCAACAACAGGACCACCATCCGCACCTTTGTGGCCGAAGCCCATGAGTGTGTAATAGTCGTAGGCGGTATTGACACCTCCCATCATCCCTTGGTCGTAACCGAAGAACAGAATTGATAGTCCGGCGATGCAATTGATCCTGGTATCACAGTGAGCGAAGTCTACAAACTTCCATCGGGGGAGACGCACGCGATGAGCAGGCTGCGCTTCTCATATCGATGAACGACGTTGTACTTTGATATTTTGTCCATGATCGGAAATGGCGTAGCGCGATGTCGGACCCAGGATTGGGTGTGTAGAGCCACGAGAGGATTCGTGTGGAGGCTTCACTGCTTTCTGGAGCTCAAAACGCGGGCATCGGACGTCGCACGAGCGACCGGACGTCTTTATAGCATGCTGCCGTGAGCTCAACCAGGTTACATCGTGGCCTGCGCGCGTGGTCGTTCAACGGTGTGGAGACTCTGCTCCCGTGGGGCCCCAATAGCTGGAACGGCGGCCCCTCAGCAGTGCTAGACGGCGGGAACGTCTCCAGATGCAACCATGGTAGTGCGGATCTTTCAGAATTTCAGGTCTTCAAACTTGCTAGCCGAAGCAAAATCCTGTGCGGCCGTGGTCGAGCGATCCAAGGCTTACTAGACGCGGTAATCCGCCCAGCTGCACAGACGCCGCTGCACTTGCCTGAAGCTTACCGACACCAAGCCTTGCGCCGAGTAGACCACAGCATTATAGAAGCTGCTTGAAGCTCTGCAATGCAAGACTCGGCGCCAAAGTGCATGCGAAGAGTTCCGTGTGACCAGACTGCGGCGGCCGAAAGCTGCGAGTTATTCATTGATATGGAGAGGAACGAGTCGTGGTCTGCTTGGGAAAGTTGTTGGTCGGCGTGAGTCCCGAAGCCGCCGCTTCAATTGCCGACAAAGATGCGTGACAGGGCAATGCTGTGCAATGACGTTTTGACCAAGTTGACGAGAAATCGGAGGCTCTCCAAGTCGGACGCTTTACTTTCCCAATACGAAGCTCAATGCTCGAGAGCCTTTGCTTTTCGTGCAGCAACCGGCTAATGTGTGATTTCAATTCACCACCGGCCAAAAACTTATGGCGAGACGATCATGCGTCGCAATGCTGATTGGCGCGTACGGAAACCGCGCAATGCTTTATAGCAAATGTACCTCAGACAGAAGCTGTATCGATAGTATGAGGCTGTTGTGGGCTGCAGGGTAGGACAAGTGCGACGTGCACAATATGTAGACCAGACCGATGCGCCTGGGGACGGTGGGCATGCGGAGAAATCAACAGCCGTGGGGCTCAAGATGCGCGTAGAAGTGGGGGACACATGGACGAGTTGTTCGGATAGATTGCCGAACGGGTGCCGTTCCATGAGGCGTCACGTGAAGGACACCACATCTCTTATCGATAAAACATCTTCGCGTGCCAACGCGGGTCAGCAACTTTCCGGGTCGTCAGCCGGGCGTAAGTGACAACACTCCAAGTGCCGCTCACCATGCGCATCCACGCAAACGACTCACTGCGCCATGTCGGGAACCGCCGCCTGGCCGCCGTCTAACGGTGTTACTTCCAAGATCGTTCCGCGAGAGAATGCCGTTTTCCAGATCTCCTATTCGACCGTCGTACGCGCCCCGGCACCGCTCGTTTTCGACACGGTCCTCCACGCCGCCGACTATCCGGCATGGAACACTTGGGTCCCTCGCGCGGAAATTCTCACACAGCCCTCGTCCTCCGAGGGCCCGCAAGATGGAAAGGCAAGCGATGACGCCGTACGACTGCCACGTGAGACAGATGCTGACTTTGTACACATGTCTCCAGGCCCAAGATCGTATGACCATCGGCTGCACAATGCGCTTCACCGTCGTTATGAACGCAGACAAACCGGACGCTGTCACTTTGACACCACTCAAAGTCGTAGACATCAGCACCCCCTCGTCGCCGACATCGTACCTTACGCCCGAACAACTCGAGGATCCAGCATTCACGGCTGATCTCAGCAAGGTATACAGGGCGAGTTGGACGGGCAATGGAGGCATGTACGCGTTTGGCATGAAACTGGAAAGGTTCCATGAGGTCATCGTCATTGGTGAGAACGAGTGCGAAGTTAGGACGTGGGAAATCATGGGTGGCATGCTTTCCAGGCTTGTCAAGGTCATGTACGAGGACACGCTGAAAGGCAAGGTCGGCCTCTGGTGCGAGGATCTGAAGAAGTACTGCGAGAAGGTGCATAACGAGGCGGTGACGAGTGGATAAGCATGAAAGGTATGGCAACCGCTTGTCGAGATGCCGTTGCAGTAGCGCAGGGAATACATCGCCTGCGATCGGTCGCAGTGGCGTGAACATGTTCCCATACATGCCTAAATCCCACAACACACCCTGGCCATTGACATTGCCATGTTCGCATGCATCGACGGCTGGTAAGATTTAGAACCGAAAGGCCGTCGCCGCGTTCTAACTTTGTAGGTTGAGGGTATGTGCGATCATATAAACATTTGCTTCGGCTGTGGATGTCAATCTTTTGAATCGCGGCTCCGTCGTAGGCATCAGGGTAGTGATGGTCTCAACCTGTCCCTGATACTCGACGTGATGCGACCCGCTGGCGCCGTCAACTTATAATGTCGCAAAGTCTAGAGCACTTCGCGCACAGCCAATACACGCGTCGAAGGGTTCTACTTCAACCAGATAATGCTCTAAAAGCGCAGAAACCTGTTACACGGGGTTAGGCTATACTTCTCTAGGCTCGGTCCGTACTAAGGCGAGGTAGACTAAGCGGTAGTCCGTGAGGTATCGTATGGAATGATCAGGTGGAAAAGAGTTATCGTTGTTAACCAAAGGATAAACGATACCAATTCTATAAGCGATAGAATAACTAGTTGACAATCTGTGTGAGAGATGAACTATTTGAGTTGACCACAACGAGTGTAATAATGAAATCCGTCCATCCTTTATACCCATTGTAATCCGAACCTGTCCTCTGGCCAAGCTTGCTGCTTCCCAGATGCGCCTGGCATCTCCAGATGTCGGGCATCTAGAGAGGACCTGACATCTCGAGGTGTCTGGTCTTGGCGAGATGCCATTCTTGTCACGTGATCCAGGCCCCGCCTTTGATCAGCAACCCTTCGTCGTAGTTTCCCGAAGGTCTCTCTCCATGCGACCTGCATGAAGAAGCAATTCCTTGTTACCTTGTAACAAAACCAAAACTAGGACCGAGGCTGCTGATGAGTCTGGAGCAATGCAATCGTTGCATCGTCCTGTACTCATAAAACAAGACCGCCATACGGTTGCAACGACGTGAGTTGCCACAGCATCCACTCCGGTCCAGGCTCATGGTTGTGGCCAGACGCAATCTGGGCTCCAGCGCTTCCACTGGATAGTACTGAAGACACAAGGGGCAGACGTGAATTGCCGAATGTTGAGAGATTATCTGCGAGATCGCACGTTGACGTTGATTCCCATATGTCGCTTTCAGCTCGACGTTCGGAAAGCGCCAGGGGCGGTGATGACATCTCAGCTTGAAACCCAGGCGATTCAGCTCCCAGCCTGTGAGAGACCGGAAGGACCGATGCACGGTTGGCTGTCATGCTACTAGCTCGGAAGTGATCCCACTTTATCAGACTAGCGTCATGATCTTCCAGAGCTAAGCCTCATTGGCCTGACGCCTTCTCCGCACAAGACCCTCGGCCCTTTCCCATCCCCAGGAAAACAACGCACTAGAGCCGCGATCCCACGCGTTGTTGCGTCACTGTTAGGCTTCAAATTTCCGACTAGATGGCGCAACTAGCATGCTCAGTTTGCGAGGACCTCTAGACACGATGTTACGCGCAATACCCCGCTCAGCGCTCGCCAATGCCTGATGTCACTTCTTGACAGAATGACTGGAGCCAACTGAGAGATCAGTAAACTTTGCAAATGTGCGACCATAGGCGCCTGGGCATACGGCGGCCCCGGTAACCTTATCGCCTTTCATAACCGACGTTATCTCGGGTTGGCGTGGAAGATGTACAATGAGGCATTTCTCTGACTAGGATCAGATATCTCGGGAGAGGTGCCACCATTGCAGATTCGGTGTTTCATTCCGGCTTCTATCAGTTCGCCGCCCGGAACGATTCCCGGGGACAGCACGTGAGCGTTGGGACAGGAACCCGGCCTGTGCGTACCTTAGCGTTCATGGGGATCGCTGTGGCTCTTGACAAAAGTGCGATGAAGGCGCTCCAAAGGGCCCTGTGAATTACGTACCAGTATATGTACCCCAGATCGAACTACAGAAGGGAACCAGTTTTAGTTCATAAACACCAAGCGTTCCCCAGTTCAGCCCTGACCTAAATCTCGTCGAACATTGATCACAACCAGTCTAAGGGTATCCACCCATCTGTACCGTCGTCGGAATCTCGTCTTCTTCATCTTCATCTTCCATGCACCCGGTCGTACCACTCTAGTCTCACCATGTCTTACCAGCCGAACAGCAACCTTGAATCGACTCGGTCGCCCGAAAAGAAAAATGAGTATGATCTTGAACCGCAGACGACACACCGCAGAGGCAGTGTGTTCAGCACAGGTGGACGCAGGGTTTCCATCACCGACGACGTCTTTGGCGAGATTACAGAGGAGGGGCCCAACTATCGCGATGTACGTCCTCGCATCTGCCTGTACATGTTGCGCATTAGCTTACAACCCTAGGTTGGTTGGATGGGTTCTGTTGTCGTCATGATCAAGACGCAGATCGGGCTGGGTGTGCTTTCCATCCCGTCTGCATTCGACGCGCTTGGTGTGATCCCCGGAGTGCTCTGCATGATTGGTATCGGGGGTACAATCACTTGGGGAAACTACGTGGTTGGTAGATTCAGGCTCAACCACCCTGAGGTGTACAGTATCGTAGACGTGGGTGAGATGATGGGCGGCAAATTTGGCAAAGAGTTCATGAGCGTTGCCTTCATGCTTTGTAAGTTCCTCGCCGACGTGATAAATGGTGAAGTACTAACGATCGAAAGGGTGGATCTGTGTGGCTGCGGCTGGCTTTTCGAGTATCTCTACCGCCCTCAACGCCCTTTCCCTGCACGGAACATGTACTGCTGTTTTCGTCGCCGTAGCCGCCGTAATTGGCTTCTTGACAGGCTCGATTAGGACTCTTGGAAAGATCTCGTGGCTCGCATGGGCTGGTGTTATATCCATCATCACCGCGCTGCTCACTTTGACCATCGCAGTAGGCCTCCAAGATCGTCCAGCAGCTGCGCCCCAGGATGGACCGTTCGTTTCGGATTACAAGTTGATTGGAAACCCCACATTCATCGAGGCAATGTCCGCTCTCAACACCTTTGTCTTCGCCTACGCTGGTACACCCGCCTTCTTTGCCATCATGTCTGAGATGCGCGACCCCAGGGACTACAACAAAGCCATGTACATCTGCCAGGGTACGATGACCGCTATCTATATCATCGTCGGTGTCGTGGTTTACTACTTCTGTGGCTCCTACGTGGCATCTCCTGCTCTTGGATCTGCTGGCCCTCTTCTCAAGCGCGTCTGTTACGGCCTCGCTATCACCGGTCTCATCGCTTCGACTTGCCTCGTCACCCACTATCCAGCCAAATATGTCTTCCTCCGCATAATGAAGGGATCCAAGCACCTTGTCTCGAACTCCAAGACCCATTGGATTACATGGCTGTCGTGCACGCTTGGTGTTACACTCGCAGCCTATGTCATCTGCTCGGCTGTGCCAAACTTTGGTTCTCTCATCTCGCTCGTCGGCGCTCTGCTTGCTACATTTATGTCGATGCAACCGCTCGGAGCTATGTGGCTCTACGATAACCTTAAGCGCCCAAACAAAGGCACCAAATGGGTGATCGGCGCTGTCTGGGCCTCGTTTGTGATTCTTATCGGGACATTCATCATGGTTGCTGGTTCGTACAGTGCTATTGTTGGTATCATTGACGATTACAATTCTGGAACGTCTGGTGCTTGGTCTTGTGCTGACAATTCCAACTCGGGTAGTAGCGGACACTAGATGATTGATATAGTCAGCATGTGTCAACAGATCGGTCGTTTGAGTATTGAAACATGTCCTTTTGTCTGTGATCAGACTGTTCCGCGTTCAAGCATGTCTGATATTTGCAAATCTTGCGGTGTAGATGACTAGCGACGCAGGTAAATTGTGGATATGAAGATTGGTCTTTGAAACTGTGTTGTTTGCACGACGGAACGGTTTGAAGTCTTCGGTCTTAGCTATCCTCAAGGATAAATCTATCGCGGTGTGACAGTCAAGTCACGAATCACGGATACCCTTTTGCAGTCATAAGGTTTCATTTAGGGTGCCAACGACATATATGATACATGATCTCGATATCGAACTCTCGCATTCTACCTATAGTCATGATCAAGTCGCATGATTTCAGGCGTTGTTTGACAGCCACTTGCCCTTCACTGTCTGCAACCCTGACTCACTCAAATAGCCTGCCAGCTCTTCGGTTTGTTCTTTCGCGAGTAGATCAAACGGCCTTCGCAGGCCGCCCGTCTCCCATCCTCGCAGCTCCATGCCTGTTTTGACCGCGGAAGGGTAGTTGTGGCTCTCGAGGAATTTGCAGATGGGGAAGATCTTCCTCCACAGCTCCCGCGCGCCCCGAAGATCGCCCTGGACGGCCAGCTTGTTCCACAGCTCCACTGAAAGCTCAGGTATGATGTTGGTAGCGCCCCACACTGAACCCTTGGCCCCTGCAGCGAGGCCGTAGAAGGTGAGGGTATCCCAGCCGTTGAAGGCCGTGATCTTGTCGTCGAGCTCGAAAAGCAGCTCCGTCAGCGCCGGCGCGTTTCCTGATGTGTCTTTCATGTATTGAACGCCTACTTCTGACAAAGACGCTAACTCCGTGGGCGATAGGGTGATGCCGCTAGCAGAAGGGATGTTGTAGAACATTATGGGCAGGTTTGATGCCTCGTGTACCTCCTTCATAAGTGTCCGCAGCTGTTGATAGTTGACAGGATCATAAAACGGAGGAACCACCATCAATGCATCAGCACCAGCCTTAGCTGCATGGGTAGCTAGATCGACGCACTCCCACGTCGACAAGGCGCCAATGCCAGCTACAACAGGAACCCTTCCCGCTGTGTATTTGATGACAAGTTCCAGACCGTTCCTTCTTTCCTCTGATGTCATGGCTGTGAACTCGCCCGTGGTGCCTCCAGGGACAAGACCATGAACTCCAGCCTCGATCATCCGGTTGACGTGTGCTTGTAGCCTGCCCTCATGCACCGTCTTTCCATCGTCGGCGAAAGGCGTGATAAGTGCTACTAGGATGCCGCTGAGCTCTCGAGGCGCCATAGCTTGTGAGGTAAGTTGTGTCTGAAGATAGACGATCAAGATGAAATATTTGTGGGTGAGGATCGTAAGTATTTCGAGGCCGTACGTTGAGAAAGAGGCTGAATGCTGAGAACAAGGACAACAGCGGTATCTACTGAAATATGAGGCTCTATTAACACTCCGCAATTCTCAGGAATGTAGGGATGTCAGGATGGATGTTGCGGGGCATCATCCACAGGAGTGAACTTCCGGAGTGGACTTCCGGATATGGTTAGTCTGACTGACTTGTTTCCGACCACGCTGATCAGTCACATCGTGAGGGTCTAGATGTCGATTGAAGACTTGATTCAGTATGTTGTTCCGTAAGCATCACGCCAAATCGTTCCGGCTCTCACATCGGTAAATCCGTAGGACACGATGTCCAAGTGCGCTTCTAGCTACCTAGCTTATCTCGCCCATGAGTGTCAGATCGCTCATAGCACCAGACCGAAACTGTTGAGCAACAACGCATAATTGAAAGATTATCTTCAATCATTGAAACAAAATCTTCGAAACTTCGCAATCCTGGGTGGAGAGGAACTCCGCAGTGCACAACCGAGCGGCCATAGCGCAACAGAACACTTGCGTCAGACGGCCACCTTACAATATTATAATTTTTGTTTCCACCATGGCAAACCGGGCATCGAATCTTGACCCTCTGGTCTTCTCAATCCAGGATCTTGAGAAGGAGGGCACAAAACGTCTTCCAAAACAATATCGCGATTTCTATAATGGTGGCGCAATGGACATGATAACGTTCGTAACCAACCTCTCCACTTGGCAATCTCTGATGTGATTAGGCTACGGGACAATGTTTCGGCCTACGACCGATACAAGATTCGGCCTCGCGTTCTTCGAAACGTCTCTCATTTGGACTCGACCACAGAAATCTTTGGCTACAGGGCGAGTTTCCCCTGCGGAATCAGCCCAACGGCGATGCATTGTTTAGCACATCCAGACGGAGAACTGGCGACCTCAAGGGCAGCGGCCAAGGCGGGGATACCGATGGCCTTGTCCTCCTACTCAAACGTTGCATTAGAGGAAGTCAAAGCCGAAGGAGCTGGAAATCCTTACATGATGCAAATGTGCATTGTGAGAGACAGGAATCGCACCCTACAGCTGTTAGAAAGGGCTGAGAGTGAGTAGCTCACAGCGTTGCAAGTGCAGACTGACATATAGACAGAAGCCGGCTATGAAGCCCTCTTCCTCTCTGTCGACGTACCGGTGCTAGGACGACGGCTAGGAGAAATGCGCACGAACTTCGCCCTGCCGAACGATTTGTCCTTCCCAAATATTCTGTCCAGTGGGGAGGGCGACTTTGGTGATGACGAGACCAAGCGCAATGGGCCCACAGCTTTCGACGATACACTGGAATGGGAAGAAGTCATCCCGTGGTTGCGGAAGCATACAAAGATGGAGATATGGCTAAAAGGGGTCTCGTCGCCCGAAGACGTTGAACAAGCCGTGGCTACGGGTGTCGATGGTGTCATCATCTCGAATCACGGGGGACGTCAGCTCGATGGTGTGCCAGCGACGTTAGATGCGCTGCGTTCCTGTGCTCCAGTCGCCAAAGGACGCATAAAAATCGCCATGGATGGTGGCATCCGGAGAGGTTCAGACATTTTTAAGGCTGTCGCACTTGGGGCAGAGTTTTGCTTTCTCGGACGAGTCGCGATATGGGGGTTAGCTGTAAGTTCTTCTAGGCACATACCAGCCCTGCCACTAACATCCTTGCAGTACAAAGGTCAAGCGGGCGTAGAACTGGGTATCCGCATCCTGTACGAGGAGTTCAGATCAACAATGGCCTTGGCTGGCTGCCGCTCCGTTAAAGAAATAACGACGAACCATCTGAGTGTCTTGGAAGGCAACGGTATCCTTGCAAAGCTTTGATGTAGATGTAGGAATGGTATGATTGTTGACTTCAATTATGCACGCCAACTAGTATAGCATCAGCCAAAATTTACCCTCTCGCAACACATCAACCCAGGAGTAAACTTTGCCTCTATTGGAGATGCCGCTCTCAGGATTTTGTATGGCCCCCGCGACGTCACGTTGCTCCCATACCTCTCGCATGACCTTTTGTGAGGCAGTGAAGCCATTACAAGCGGATCGACTTGCACCCTTCTCCATCCACCCCATTAACCAATCCCGGGAAGACGTTGGCAGCGCTTCACATCCAGCGATGAAAGCTGGCCACGGCGTACCTAAAGACATCATGTTTGTGGGACCTTGTGCGATATCGAAGTCCCGTAGTGCTGTGATGACGTCGTTGACATGCGACTGCAGGATGAAAGGATGAACGTTGCGAATCCTCCGATAGAAGAATATCACTAACGCTGAGCCCATTGCTCTCAACATCGCTCGACTGGAAATCGAATGATTGGGTGTAATCTCGTTATTGCTATCTGACGGCACGGGAGTCTCAAGAACGCTGTGCTTAGCGGAAAAAGAGCATATCATGTGCTCTAGTCGTGTCGTCTTCCTTTGTAGAGAGTCTGTGAAGGCCCGCGGCATTTGCTCGGTCGTTTGCTCGAGAAAGTCAATGATGTTGGCGACTCTGGTCGTTTGCGATACCAGGCTGAGCCAGTCCTCTGGAATTCCATAAATATCCATATAGAGTGTCTTTGGCCATTCGCGAGGATCCGAAAGGTGAATATCTCGGAGACCAGCCTCCTGGTCTTTTGATGTTCCCATGTGGAGATCGCTATCTGGACCGTGTGTTTCCACTCGAAGAAAATCGTCGAGTTGAGGGTGTTCATCTGCCAACACTGCGTTCTGCTCCGAGGCCGACGAAACGCTAGAAACTGCCGTGCTTTTCTGTATCATCCTTTCTATCTTTTCCTGAAAACCGGCGCTGGTGAGGTCATGCAACATAAAAGTGCTTTCACCAACGATCCGGAGCCAGGTATACACGTGGTGTAGTAATCGAGCTTTGCGAGAGACATCTCGCTTGGCCAGTCCTCGTAATCTCAACAGGCGCTCCGCATCGATGATGTAGCATCTAGCGTCGGCCGAATTGCCGCTCAGCGTCTACTGACATTTAGCACGATCTCCACAACAGGGTGGGATGCATACCGCAAGCGCAACGAGACTGAAGAGAGCCATTAGCTGGTCTTTGTACTTGGACTTTCCCGGACCAGCTGTTTCTGATTTCAAAGACTCCTGCATGTGGCTCTTAGCATGCCGTGAGGCATAATCCAGGATCTGGGTACCTCTTTGGTACGAAAGAACGCCAGGATAGTTCTGTGTCTTAGTAATGGTGTGTGCAGAGCAACCGATAATGGCGAAAAGGTTAGCCAAGTTTGCGTGTTTGACATTGGAACTCTGGAGAAACGTTATATCGGCGAGAGTATGTACGGCATTGCTCCAATTGAGAATCTCCCATGGCGACTTTGAGTGCATCGGCAGCGGCGCGAACTGGGAAATCACGACATCTCGAAAGTGCTTCAGAAGTACTTTTGCATCTTCTAGCACCTCGGCACCATTTAATTCCGTTTGTGTGTATGGAGGAGGTTGTGGGCTTGTGACTGCCGCGAAAGTACCCATACTTTGTCCACTCAGCAATGATTCGGCTTCGAACGAATGCCGTGGAAACTGATCTCCATCATTGAATCCATGTGGGTGACTAGCAACATTCGCTAAAACTTCGAGCGAATCGTGATATGTTTCGTCATGTATGACAGGCATAAGAAGACTCGTCGTAGAGCCAAACAAGTCGTTCCACCCGAGGACGGCAGAGTTATCGAGCAACGACTCCAGATCAGAGAAGGATCCGGCAGAATGGTAGCTGAAGAGATCGGACTCGTTCATCTCGATCCCTGTGTCACCTTCCACGTGGCGTACATCCTCCAACGGAAGCATAGAGGACGGACATGCTGGTGGATGACTGGGGATTTCGGCGCTGCTCGACGCGATTTCTTGGGAGAGAAGCGGAATGTTTGCTGGTGAGGATCTATGGGGCGGTAAAATGGAATCTTGAGGCACTTGGTCGTCTTGTTGCGGGCCATTGGGAGAGGCTGCTTCACCAGACTGCTCTGACAGGCTGTTAGTGCGAATCTGATATCTAGCCGATGGGATGCAGACGTTGATTTGGTTCCGTTGAAGAAGCGTCCTGAGACGCCGTTGTGCTTTGAGATGCTGCTTGCCTCTGGGCAAATGGCGTGGGTGGCGGTATCTGGGCCGACTTCAGAGCTGGCGGGCCGGTAGACATAGAAGCCCAGCGGATCTGGGAGGGAAAGCCTTCACACTGCAGGCCAGCGTTACGGCAGACAGAGCAACATGGCCGTGACTGATCACATTTGACATGGCGGCGCCGGCAGGTTGAGCAGCCGCCTAGTTTGTGAGTTCGGCGCGGCTGCGAATGTTTTCGCGTCGCGTTACGGCTACGTTCACTGCGCATGACGTCAGAAAGAGGTAGAGCCAAAGAACTCACGTTCCATACGGAGAAAGAACGTGATCGACTGGGATTTTGAGTTAAGACATCTAGAATGGTTGTCGATAACGAAATCGACATGGCAACAGCGGGGTTTGCATGATGAGCTATCTCGGAGTCTCTTTCCGTTCTTGGTTAGCCTGTCCAAAGTGTCCGTGCGTGCAATGACCATAGTTACGATCACAAGATCCTTCGTCGATCAATCTACAGACCTATGCGACACTACAACGTAGGTAGAGGTAGGTCGTGGCCGTGGCGGGCGGCTATGGTTGGAGTTCGCCCGGGCAGGCTTGTAGCGATAACACCATCCCGCGCAAGCGCTTCACAACAGACCTTCCGTACGTGCGAGTTCTATCGTCGACAGAGTACTTCACCCTTAATAAGGTGGATGCAGAACCGTGGAATTGAATCAGCGCCGCAAGCCAGCCAAGCCATTAGGCATAGCTGCCGAGAAAATGCCCAAGTGCGGCTGAAGCAGGATAGAAGCTCGCGGGCTTCAACATCATCCTGAACACATATTTCCTAATCCACCTTATACTTGTACTTGTTCACGATAAACAGCATCGCACAGCTTGCCGAAAGATCGGACTTTCCTTTGCGCCATGGGAAACAAGCCCTCGGCACTACTTTCTAATAAGGTTAAGATGCAAATAAAATTTGTAATTATTAAACAATTATGAACATGCTGTATACACGTGACTATGCAGCGTGTAAGAGGATGATCTTTCTCTATAATAAAACGCACGCGTTCTAGGCCTATCTCTAACTCGTAGTGCATGGTAGGGGGTGTGGCTTGGTGCTTCTACGCAAGACTTCCCTCCGTAATTGTATTCTGCAAAGCATGCAGTAATGGGTATCTTTGCCTGATGCATCCCTCTACGCGTACTGAATCTTAAAGCTTACTGTTTCGGCAGTGTCGTAATCGCTTTCCTTGGACGCGTCGCCAAAGATGTGCAGCGCCTTCACGACGAACTTGTACGTGCCGGCCGGCGCGAACGAGCCGTCTGAAAGCTGCCCATTCCAGTCCCACCAAGACTGTCCACGTGGCACGTAGTGTGTAGGGAAGTCGACGATGCTGCGCAGAGAAGACGAGTTGTTGCTGTCAGTGGGCAGAATCTGGATGTCGAGCAGTGAAGTTCCGAATGCGAAATCAGTTTGGACCTCCGGCAATACGACGGTAGCGTTGGAAGCAGTGTTCACCGTGGAGGACAGGGTGAAAGAAAAGTCAGCGGGGAGAGGCACAGCATCCGGATCATCAGGCCTCGTGAGGTATGTGTTGTTGGTGTTGAGGACGGTCGCTTCAAGCATGCTGCCAACGACGCCGAGGTAAGGAAGGCTCAGAGAGTCACCGTTGGTGCCATTGAGCGTGATGTAGCCGCTGAACACGGGGAGACGGGTTGCATCGAGCGCGGGCGGTGAAACCGTAACGCTGACAGCGACCTCGCTTTTGGCGGAGACGGTGACCTTGTCATCGCTGAAGGATAGCTCAGCACCCTGGGTTACGAGCTCGTTGGGGAAGGTCATTGGAAAGATCGTGCCCTCTTCGAGAGTGTAACCAGATGCAGCAATCACATTGGCAATGCTGTATGTGACATCTTCGGTGCCAGTGTTCGTAATAGTGAAGTTCGTGGTTTCAATGCGGTTGTTGGTGTCATTGAATGAGATACTCGAAACACTCAAGACAGTCTTCGTGTATGCGGCGTCATAGGCCTGAATGAGACCACCGCCTTGCTGAGCGACAGGAGCAAGATAAGTGTATGTGGTACCGCCGTCATTGAAGATATTCGGGTTTGCAGTCGCAGAGAGGACGCTTTCAAGCTCTTTAGGATCGAACGTCCCACGGACCTCCGCGACTAACGCGGTGATAGCAGCCGCAAGTGGAGTTGCCATAGAAGTGCCAGAGAGCACAGCATAGCTACCAAGAGCACGCGGCCAAGTGGACAGAACTATACCACCTGGTGCTGCGATCTGCGGCTTGACATCGATCTCGAACGTCGGACCCCAGGGTGTGGTCGTACTAAGGAATCCACCGGTAGCGTTGTTAGATGATTGAGCGACGAATACTGGAGCAATAGTGGGGTCCAAGATATTGACGGTGACAGTAATCCCAGCCGCCAGATCAGCAACCCACTCTTCACCAGTTTCGCGGGGCACCATCCCTATAGCAAGGATGCCATCGACTTCTTCAACAGAAACACCGATTACTCTGCCTGAAGATTAGCAACTAGCGCGATGCATAAGCTGGATTCATCCGTATACGCACGTGTCGACATTGCTGTACAGCATGATATATCTAGCTCCGGCATTTGCGGCATTGGTGGCCTTCTCGACAAAGGTGCAGGTTCCTCTGCGGATCAGAACAACGTATCCAGACAGATCGGGAGTGCCAGCCGGGTACGGATCGCAACCGTTTGCGGGGTCGGTAGGATCATTGTTTATGTTCCACAATGGGAGACTGATGTTTCCCCAGTTCGCAGGGGAACCGTAAGTCCATCCGAAAGATTCGGGTGGCGAGTTGGCCGACGAATTACCTATGGTGTAGGTCGCGTTCATTAAGAGTTGAGGAATCACGATGTTATCGATGGCAGCGACCGCCGTTACACCCTTGCCGTTCGATGCCGTGCTGGTGTAGAACAGGCCTTTGTCGCCTTCATTGGAAGCAGAGAGCAGACATGGTACACCCTGATCAACGATGCGCGAGACAGCAACGGCCCAAGGGTCTTCAGTCCAGCCTGAAGAGTAGCCCATTGAACAGGTGATGATATCGCTGCCATCTTCAAACGCTTGATTGAACGCAGCAATCAGAACATCATTGGCCACTCGACCAGTATTACACGTGTAGGTTCTGTATGCACCAAGGGTAACGTCAGGAGCGGCTCCAGTGAAGCCCATGGAGTTGGCTTGAGCGGCGACAATGCCAGCAACGTGCGTCCCGTGGCCTACGCACTCGTCCATTGGATCATCGTCCGGCACAGGGGTATTGGAGCCGTCGTAGTCGTCTCCCACCAGGTCAGCTCCATAAGAAACTAAGTAACCTTCACCAAAGCCACCGCCCAGTGCAGGGTGCAGGTAGTCAACCCCCGAGTCGATGATCGCAATCTTGGTGCCCTTCCCAGTGATACCCTGAGCACGGAGCTTGTCGACTTGCGTCATGACATGGGTCGAGTATGTATCGCTGGTGTTCTCGCCTCCCTGCCGCTTACGGAGCGCGCTCTGACCCGAACTTCTATCCTGGCCTTCCCAGACAACTTCGTTACGAGGCCGAGCTTGAACGCGAACTGGCCAAATCTGCTTGACCATATCCATTTCTGCAATCTTGGCCGCAGCAGCATCTGCATTAGATACGTTTTGAAGCTGAAACGAGATGCCCTTGAATAGCTTGTAGTTGAGATTCATGCGGTGCTCTACACCACCCTCATCGATATCGAGTGTGTTGTAGAAGGAGGCGGAGTCCTACACGAATTAGTTGATAAAGGAATAGTGAGAATGTCGTCGTGTACATGGCTTTCCGCTAGTTCGACGATATAAGCACCTGTGACTATCTGTCCAGTGAGCTCTCTCGGGGATGCCGCGGCAGTGACAAAGAATGCGCAACCCAGAATGGGAATGCAGAACCTCCAATGTATCATAGTGAGCAGTGCGGCAGAACGAAACAAAGAGCGAAAAAAAGTCCCAGAAAGCCGGGCAAGAACGAACAAGTTTAGTGTGTCAGTTGTATCGTGTTTATTTATCCATAGAGCTCGGCAGAAGCGACGCAACGCGCTATGACGCCGATATGGTCCGCATGGGATTACCATACTATGCCAGGGGCGTTCTACGTGACTGCACCCGGGGAGAAAGGTGTTAATAAAAGGCACGAAGGGCACAGACGGCCTCGGTGAGATATCTATACCTGGATCGAGACGGTAGGCCAGATCAGGAGGTGTATGCGCAAGGGTAGTTTGAAAGATCTTAAGATTGAGATAAAGCATGGGCGTCGCCAAGATGCGCTTCAGTTGCTCCTCGTTGTCTCATATGCAGGTACCCTCAACTTACCGATCAGAAGGGTCAAGCACGAGGCAGAGGTTGATTGGAGGATCACTATGTATAAATTCAACCTGCCCCGTTCAGATATCTAGTGCTAGTGACGGTGGGTGTGATGATCTCGAAGGACGGTGAGGCCATCGGCGCCGATTCAAGGATTACTGATCAAGTGTTGGGATGAGGTACACATAATTCTTGCAGTCGTGGCCAAGATGTTGCATTTGATGCACTAGGGTCGAATTCGCATTCACGGAGTCGGCGAAAACCCCACGGCCCAAGTCGATCTAGGATGCGACATGCAGTCCGACACTGTTCACAACTAGGAGTCCTTGAATGCCTGTTTTTAGACGGCATTATTGATTGCCGCTCGGTAGTGCAGATGCTACAAGATCTTTCGTGAGAGATCATGGCAGATCTCGCCAGTCTTTCGTAGAATGAAGGTCTCCATGTATTTTGCAAGCTCAGTGGTTGTGCGCGCCACCTCAATCGCTTGGCGTGCTCTTGAATGAGACGGCCCGTGATAACGGATGCGCTCGGAAGTTTGAGGCTGTAATCGTCTGTAAAGAGCTAGCAAGTTGCCGGCGCGGCCGGAGACGGGGCCACTGCGGGTATCTTGGCACGATCCGAGCGTCAGGAGCCACAGTCGAGCTGATTGCTGTCGCTGCGGCTAGTTCCTATCATATCCTACGGCTGCTCGCCCGGTTCTAGAGCTCGTCAGCGAGTGTTCAGGTGCTTAGAGTGCTGCAACACATCATGGTGCGGCTGCTGCTGCTATCGTTCTCGCGGTGAATACGGTGCCTTGTGTGCCATCGACGAAGTGCCATGTTAGCGCCTATGTCATTGAACTACGCAGGGTCACGACCGTGCCGGGGCGTGGATGAAGGCAGTGGAGACGAGGGGTGAGGCTGTCTGGACGACTTCTGATCACGTCGTGGCAACAGTGTTCACGGACTGGAGCCACGAAGAGATGCTGCGTGGTCGTGCGCGTAACCCATATTCGCGGAGTAAGCAGCTGGTTATTATATCAGAGCTTTCGTAAAATTGTGGGAGAACTTGATTACTGAGCTTGTTCCGCGTCCCCGCACGAGAACGAGTAAGAGAACGCGAACTTCCCCGCACGGTAGCCAACGCGACGTTCCACCAATAAGAACGCGCGCGCAACATTACTTGCCCTCTGAACGTCACTGACGACATTGTGAAGCAAGACAAACAATTACCATTGCATTGGCAAGAGCGCGGAGCGATACAGACATGCGGCATCGAAATGCGAGGCGATAGCGACGAAGACCAGCGGAGTAAGAGAGCGCGAACTTCACTTGAGGGGAACGCACGTGACATCGCGAACCCGCCGAACGTCACGACTGGCACTGCACAGCAGCACGAGCAACACCATCAACAGGAGCGCCGAGCGACACAGGCATGCTTCCGATGCCGCAAACAAAAGCTCCGCTGCCTTGGTGGCAGGCCATGCGAAAGATGTGTCAAGGCGAGTAAGGAATGCGATTTTGGCAAACCTGGACATGCGTCCCCCGTCCCAAACTCAAACAACAACACGAACACGAACGGTGATGTGGTTGAGGATCGACATGGGGCGGCAGCTAGAGCTAGCTTGGTGCGCTTGGAAGATAGTGTCACCAACTTGTTAGCTGGTTTGCAGAACACTGGTACCAATGGGACCGATCTCTTCCCTGCCCTGACTGCAGCTCCTGCTACAGTTTCGTCCACGGTCCCCGTTACAGCTCCTGCTCCTGCTCCTGCTCCTCCACCACTCGAACCGTCGAGCTACCATGCTACGGCTCTTACGAGTACTGCTACAACCGCTCTGCTTTCTACGTCTGATCCCCTAACGACCCAGGGATTAGGTCATGTGAGGTTCGGTGATTCGCCAGAAGTAAATTTCATATCCCCTCATTCGTACTCGAGCCGAACCGAGACAACATCGCCATCAGGAGAACACGACGTACGGACGGGTAATGAGCATAGAGATAACGAGGGCGAGGAAAGGCTAGCTTCGGCCACCAAAGATGGGTTTGGGCCGCCTTTCCAGTCGTTGGTATACCAAGTAAGCCTGTTCGACCTGTCTTCTTGTATGCAGGGTGGTAGTCACTGACCCGGCCAAGCCATCAGTCTGGGAGAATCGGGAAAGATCAAAGCAGAACTCGCCGCTCCCTGAACCACGAGTGCATTCTGCCCGCATGCCACCGTGGGGTGTACGAGATGAACCAGTCAGCTCTGGTGTAATCGACCTTGCTTTAGCCAGAACCTTATACACATTGTCAGTGGTTCGGCGCCCCTCTCCTCCTTCACTACTACATAAGCAACCGCACTGCTGACGTTCTGACCCCAGTTTTGTGGAACACTGCCATCCTTTCCTGCCTATCGTTGATATTGCCCTTCCGGATCCATTTACCTCAGTCCAGCGCTATCCGTCACTCTTCTCTGCAATCCTGGCGATCTCCGCCCGATTCTACCTCCGTTCCTCGAGCAAAGCGCACATTATGGACTCCCATGTTCCAAAAGCCCTGGCTGAGATAGCCGAATCCCACCTCGCTCACACCTTGCTCCGGAAAAAACACACCCTAGCAGATGTGCAGGCCATCTTGCTGCTTGCGGCTTGGGGGTTGCAGAGTGGTGGAAAGGGACCTGACGCGTGGGTCTTGACAGGGCATGCGGCACGAGTGTCCAGAAGGCTAGGGATTCATCGGGCCGTCGGACAAGCTGTGGCAGCTACCCAGAAGGATCGCTCTCAGCTCGAGGCTCCGGCTGAGGTGGATACGGCCGTGCTACGACAATGGAGGACATGGTAAGTGACTGCCCCGAACAGATTCACTCGGAGGTGGATCTTGAAGTCTCAATGGAGAGACGGCCGCTGACATCGTTTGTGACAGGTTGGCTTGGTTTAGGTACGTCGCTCGGCTGGGTCTGAGGGATATCCGTCTAGATATGACTTACGTACGTGAATGACTGACTGGGTGCAGCTTCGATTCTTTCCTGTCATTTGGGTTCGGTCGACCACAATCAACTCAGTTCGAATCCATCGACGACCAAGCTTTCCTCAAAGCTCGCCTGTCTCATCCGCTCCCTCGGCCAGGGACTCAAGCTAGCCTGTCGCTGTATGGTGATGCGTATATTGCAGCGAAGGCCCAATTGGCTGTTGTTGCTCGATCCTTTGTCTTATGGGTAGAAGAGCAAGCGCGAAGCGGTCCTCCGGACAGTCAGTCGTTGTTGTCGATGTTGTCGGATCTAAACGGAAGGTTGGACGACTGGTGCAAGCTTTGGGTCTGGTCCGGTACGTCTTCTTCTGTCCTTTCTGAGTGTTATTCCCCGTCGAATACTGGCCACTCGGAGATGAAGATACCAAGATGTATGTTGCAATATCAGGCTGATGTGACAGGATCATCCCATGCGCTCTACCTCGGCGCCTCAGCACGTATAGCTCGACTGCAGGCCGAGCACCTTCGTCTGAGCATCAATGCCATGGCTCTCCGCTCGTCCACTCACAGCGAAGGTCACGAAGGCAGCATCACATATCTTCGCAAAGCTCTCAACGCAGCGACGAGCACGATACAAACACATTTCGAATCTAGCCAGACCGACCTTGCTCTGAGCTTTGCGACGGACGTAGGTTTGCGCTCCTCCCTGCCCACATCAGCTCGCGCCTTGTCCGGTCATCGTACCCTCATAGCATTGTCATGTCTTTTCGTAACTTACTGATTGAGTGATTGTAGTATATGACCATGGCCTTTGCCCAAGCTGCGGTCTTCCTGATCCGATTGACGAAGGCATCTCCCTTCGTCCAACAGGTAGTGTCGCTCGACCCCGCGGTCGTTAGCCATTACCTCACTATGTCGGTCGATCTGCTCGAGCTGGGCGACATGTCGGAAACGCGATTGTCGACCTACTTTGCGCGAACGATCCGAGGCATTGCGCGTGCTGCGGGACTCGCTATTCGTCCTGATGATGCTACGGCTACCACTGGTGTTGTTCCCCACGAACGAGGAGGTCAATCTCATACACATGAGCATTCGATATCAATGGGAAGCGTTGACGGTGTAGGAGATGCCGGACAGTACGACGCCGACACGTTTTGAGCGGGTCCTGATCTCTTCGACCTACCCTAGAGGATGTGCGCGATTGCACTACAATCGCGCTGTTTTGTTAGTAGCGATAAGAATGCGATAAGAAGCGAGGCGTAGGATCGCGGTAGTAGGATCGCGGTTAGCTAGCTACAC